GATAAGCTGCGTTAAGCCAATTACTTAACTTTTCTGAATCAGTTCCAATTTTTTCAGAAAGAACTAATTCCCGCTATTTCAACAAGAGCAAACAAGTGGCGTAAACTCCCGTAGAAGGCAAATGGTTACAGCATCATCATCATCATCATCATCATCACATATGTTATTTCGACACCAATTTCTTGAATTCAAAGGTGTTTGAGTTTAATTAAAAACCAGTTTTGTCGTAAGAATAATCAGTCGCTCCGCTAAAGATGAGTTCGTTTCTGTCGATATCCGCACCCACTCTAAAATGAGCTGGGATTTGAACAGAAAATGTTCTTTGAAGATGGTTAAAAATCGGACCCGCTCTAAAATGAGCTGGGCGTTTCATCGTCGTCGCCTTCTTTGCCTTCGTTTCACAGCCATTGGATTTTCTATGCTTCTGAAGGCGTCATAAAAGTCCTTAGCAAGTTCGCGCACGCCATTTGCTGTGGGGTGAAGACCATCTGCGCAAACATGCCTCCGATAGCTGAACTTTACAGTTTTAAAGAGCGGGATTTTATACCATGCCGTTAGATTTCTGTAGCATTTATTCACTCTCCTGATAAGAGAGCGTTTACCTTCCCGGCTAATAAGTGACATGACGCCAACTTCGAAATTGCAGTCAAGGAGTCTAAAAATAGCACTCTCCATCTCCTCGGCTACTTCAGTCGCTCCCAATGACTGGCGCCCTGAACGGTCAAACAGGTTGTTTGTTCCTCCCATTATGAGCACTGTTTGTACATCCAAGTTTTTCATATCATTGAGAACCTGATCGCTACAAAGGGTTGAGAGAGTTCCACCAGGGCACGAAACTGTCACGGAATCTGGCAGAAAAATCCCATAAACTAGCGATGATCCCAAAACAGCATATGTCACTCTCTTGATCTTATCAGAGCTCAATATTATCCGTCTTTTGGGGAGAAACCTGGTTTCAACATGAACATTTCTTAGACGCAAGGTTTCGTTTAGCTTTTGAATTCCAACTTTTCTAGTTTCAGTCATTTTAGCAACCTTTAACTGAAACAAGTCTCATAGTAATACTGGTTAAACAAATACGTTTTCAACTGTTTACGAAATTCAGTTTCATTTGGTAGTTTAAGGTTACATGGTAAACTATTCCAATGGTGTGCGGCAGCAAACCTAAACGTCCTTTTTCCATAGTTCGTGTTAACCAGTGGTTTCTTAATGACCATGGTCCTTTCACTGAAACGGGAGGAACTTTTTTGTAGTGAAAAATATTTACTCAGATACGGCGGAACGATTTGAGGATTGAAAATGCATTTGTGTACGATTGTCAAGACTTTAAAAATCACAAGAGATTTTATGGGCAACCAATCTAGATCATGTAGATAAGGAGTAATATTCGTTGACTTCTTCAAACCGAAAACAAATCTGCAGGCACTATTTTGGACTTTTTGCAACTTGTAGAGCAGATAATTTGGTAAGCTCGAGTACAAGCTATTGCAGTAGTCTAATCGACTTAAGACTAGCATTCTTGCCAACATATTTCTATTTTCAAAATCAAGGTAGAAACGTATGCTGTATAGTTTCCGGAGACTGTGGTAACTGGCGCCACACACGGAATCGATCTGTTTTTTCAATGACAAGGATCGGTCAATGAGGCAACCTAAAGACTTCACAGAGTTTTCTGTTGATTTCATCAGCTTAACCGTTGAATTTCCAATGAGTAGTGAACTGTTTGTTAGACCTTTTGACTTACTAGTGGCTAGGTTAATTACTTGGCTTTTTGATTCATTCAACATAAGCCCCATGGACGAAAACCAGTTCGAAATAATAACCAGAGATCTTTCTATTTCTGCTATTTCACTCTCATTTTTGATTTCACAGTATAAAGTAGTATCATCGGCATACACTTGGTATGAAAATTTAGTTGAGCCAATAATATCGTTCAATGGTGTCAGGTAGATTGAGAACAGGAGGGGTCCCAGAAGAGAACCTTGAGGCACTCCAAATTCGAGTTCTTGAGAATTCGATAAAACATCATTGATAGCAACAATTTGAGTCCGATTCTCTAGATAGGAAAGAATTAGATCCACTGCATCATTCGTCATTCCAATCCGATTTTTCATAATCTTTCTCAATGTTTTATGATCAATGGTATCAAATGCAGCTGAAAGGTCAAGGGCTATCAAAATGACCTGTCTCTTGTTGTCGAGACTAGTCAGTAGATCATCTGTAGTTTTTAGCAGAGCCGTTTCAGTTGAAAAATGCTTCCTGTAAGCAGATTGGTGTTCATCTAGAAGATTATAGGAGCTAAGGTATTGATCGAGCTGTTTATATAAAATTCTTTCAAAAACTTTACTGATAAACATCAGATTCGCTATTGGTCTATAAGAATTTAAAACGTTTTGGTCAAGTTTGTGGTCTTTTAAGAGAGGAGTTATCACCGCTCTCTTGAGACATTTTGGAAATTTGGACTGATCGATGCAATTGTTTATCATAATGATGGAATAATCTTTCCACGAGTGTGCTATTCTTTTCATATCTATCGTTTTCAGTATATCTTCCCGTGAGTTCGCGTTTGAAACCATTCTTACTGCTTCTTCTAGTTCATCTATAGTCACATATTGGAATTGGAAAGAAGAAACTGCAGTGAAAGCAAAGAGTGGCGGCGAGATGCCATTACTTTTAACATTTGCCACTAAATTTCTAACCTTCTGAATGAAAAATTGGTTGAAGTTTTCAGCTAATTCATAATCACTGGAGTATATCAGTGGTAGAACGTTTTGTTGTTTTTCTCCAGCAAGGCGTTTCAATTCACGAAATTTGAGCGAATGGCTATTTGAAAGCTCAAAGCGCCTGGAAAAATATATCAATTTCTTCTCTCTAAACCGATCTTTACATTTCTTTAAATACTCCTTGAAAGCTGTTTCGTTTTCTAATCCAGGATTTACACGCATTACGCGTTCTAATTTTCTACGTTTTCGTTTTACGTCTGCTAACTCTTTATCGTAAAAATTACAAAATCGGTTTTTGACAACTTTGGTCTTAGTTGGCACATAATCAGTTTTCAGCAGCTGCAAAATTTCGATAAAATTCTCTGCCATCTCGTTCGGGTCACTGGTGTTCAGATTCAAGATTAAATTCTGATCTATTTCCGTCTCTAAATGTTCCCAGTCTGTATTGTTCCAATCATAAATAGTCAATCTGGTTTTATCCTTCCGTTGAATTGCGATTTCATAAGTGAACGTCAATAGATGGTGATCAGAGTATTCAACGTGCTCATTTCTAACGGGTGAGCACAATTCCGGGTTTGAACAAATTATGAGGTCTAGAATTTTCCCGTATTCGTGAGTTGCTTTCTTAACAATCTGTTCTAGGTTATATTCCAGTAGAATCGAACAAAATGTATTGGATTTGGCACAACGTCTGTTTTCTAGATCCAAATTAAAATCACCCAGGAGGAGAATTTGGGTTTCAATTGACGAGGCAAGAATATTTTCAGTCAATTCATTAAAAAACTCGTTATAATTTCCACTCGGCGGTCTATATATTGCTGCAATTGTTATTTTGACTTTTCTAGTCACGACCGTAATTACCAAGAATTCACCATCGTCCGAGAGATGGCTCAAAATTCTTTCACCCTGTAGTTCTTCGCGAGAAATTATGGCAACACCTCCACCTATTTTAGCCGTTCGTGAAACATGATGATATCGATATTCATTTGAAGAGTCTATACACTGATTTAGAATATATTCCGTATCCGGCTTAAGCCAGGTTTCAGTAATGATCAAGATATCAACTTGTTCTATAGCCAATATGCTCTGTATTTGATTTACTTTTTTCGCTAGAGAACGTATATTAATTACACCAACTTTCATAGCATTCGATTGAGACTCGGGTTTTTTTTTTGATTTTAGTCAGTCGCTTTTCAAAGTTCTGAGCCAGGTTCTGGCTTCTGCATCAAGATAGTACCTGTTTATTACAACATTTTCCGGCCAAGAATTAGGTTGATCAATGATTGTTGCATGTTCGCCGTCAAATACACAGTGGAAACTTTTGTGGCGAGAATTTTCCTTTGTTATTTCCCTGATATGATTCAGAGGAAATCCTTTACTTTGACACCATGCGACTATATCACTTTCATCATTTGTCTGTTTTATTCTTCCAACATAGAGATGGCGTCGTGGTGGTGGCTTCTCTACACCTTTGAGTGCTTCTGTTACCACTTCTCCCGTAATTAGTGGTTTCTTTGGTCTGCGGTCATTTCTATCTTTGGAGCCTTTTCGCTTCGTAACCCTCGAGCTACCAGCTTCTGAGGATACACTTTCACGAGCATTTCTGATGAATGCCGAAGAATTCAGATTAAACTTCGCTGCCCCAGCATAATTGGTTTTGTTCTTTTCAATTATACTACTTGGTTCACGATATTGCTTCAGCGATAGCAGCTCAGACTTTAATTCGTGTACATCTTGCGCCATAGTCTTCATTGAGAACAGTTCTTGTCGCAGTTCATCATTAACTCGGAAAAGATCTCTTTTACAGGTTCCACAATCTGGGCAACTCCATTCAATGTGCCCAACCACCTTATCGGCAGTGTTGAGGCCAATACACGCAGAGTGGGCAGAAGCTTGACAACCGACGCATTTCACCGATTGATTGGTTAAAGCGTTTTGACATACTGTACAGTGGAGAGACGACATATTTCAATTGTCTTGCTGGGAATTATTGGTCGTTTCCGCTCTAAAATGAGCTGGATTTTGGTAGATTTGTTTAAAGATATTTCCAAATTCTCTTTGTCATTCCCGCTCTAAAATGAGCTGGATAACATCCGGGAATTTGTTCGTGTCTTTTCTGGCTGTCGTAACCACTCTCAAATGAGCTGGTTTATCTTCTTTATCTGATTCTGTTTGTGTCAATTTCGATTTCCATCAACCGGATCTCTAAAATCCCTTCGTAGACAAGGGCTACCCAAGATAAGATGTTTATCCGGTTCGTCGAGACATATCTATCTATTTAATAAGTTTATCACAACAATTAGGCTAAAGAAAAGATTTTAAGTAGAATTATAGCTACTTCTACGCTAATTATTTTAAATCTTGATCTCGCTTCCTTCCTTATTGCTTCGAAAAAATTAAGAAATATGTATGCCTGGGAAGGTTTTTATTCAGACCAATTTTCCAAATAAAGTTACACTGGGGTGCTCAATCCCGTGATCTTCATCTGATCCGAAGGCTCGCGCTTGCCACTAAACTAACCTGACTTAAGGGTCGCTGTAAAATGAGTCTAAATAAACTGCTCGTTTTATATTTGGATGCTAAAAGTGTTAAAGCGCATTATTTGCGCATGGAAAATTATCCCGAACTACGCGTTCAAAATTGAATTGAGGCAAGCTAATTATTCTTATTAATTCCATAAACGACCACTATCAGCTTTGAACTTATAGTTTGTCAATATTTCCTAAACCAAAAACTATTCAAGAGCAAGACCAGTTAATGGGCAGTCGGTTATTTCAGGGCTGTGCCCTTATACGAGCAGTTTTGTTCAATTTAAGGATAGAACTCGAATTGAAGGTGAAATTACATAGGTGATCCACAATGGAGTATCAGTTTTCGGTGTCTATAGACTACTCCATTACATCTTTCTCTTGGAGCCTAAGCCAGACCAGACCCACCATACATTCTTATCACACTCAATTTACATCGACACAAGTCTGGTTAAATAATTCGCTTTAAAAGGTAGGACGGTTCGTCCTTTATCTGTCAAGATGATCTTTATCAACTACAAAATCTAAACGATATCAATAAAAATGTCTATAAACAGCTCAGCATCAGAAAACATAAAAATTGCATGCCCGAAATGTGTAAAATTCAGTTTAACTATTTCACAGCTCAATTAGAAAATAAAAGAATTTAAATAATTATAGCCCAAAAAAGTAATCTAAACATTATTGTAGACTGGAGTGAGAAATTTCAACGAACGAATAAATTTTACGAAAAATTATCACAGGTGAAATACTTTTTCAAATTCGAGCAAGACAACAATACCTTTAGGATGATAATGTCTAACAATAATCTGTCAAAAAATAGCTACTTCAAGTGGAAATTTTTTCTGAAGAAAAAACCACGCCGAACACAAATAATCGGTCACTTTCATCGAAAGTCGGAAAAATTAACCAACAATTCGCTGAAATTGAACAAAGCAAAAACCTGATACTAGAAAAAATGAAGAAACCTATTTGATCTTGCTCATAGTTTTTGCGATCCCTATAGATTCTTCAGCTCTCCTTTCTGATGCAGTATTTAAATTTTTCTCAACTAGATAAATGTGAAAACTTCTCGAAGATAAATCTATTTATCTTTTTCTATTAAAACTATTAATAATCAAAACAAAACAATCATATGTACTCAATTGATCAACAACAATAAATAGCTAAATCATCCGGATAAAATGATTTGAGCAAAAAATGGCATTTTCCTCAAACTTGCTAAGTTAACATGAAAAAGTGACAGAAAAAAAATTTCTCGAATTATGCTCAAAGTAAAACTGTTTACATGTTTCTGCAGAAAAATATAAACAGCTGGTAAAGAGCCAATGATCAGAAGAAACAGAGAAAAAAATTGAATTAATTTAGCAAAAGGAGGAGGAAATTAGATACCCTTAAAGCTCTTTGAATTTCTAGAAAAATTTATAATTGGCATTTTTTCTTGTTAAAATAACCCAGTTTGAGAAAACTGGATCATTAAGTAACAGAGCCAATCGAAAATAGGAAAAGAGTAATTGAATGCAACTAAACATAAAAAAACACTGACTTTCTTGAAAAAAGCTTCTTGAAAAAACTTTCTTGAAAAGACTTTCTTGAAAAAACTTTCGATTTTCAAAGAAAAAAGTAGTTGCCTCGCCGTTTAAGCTCTTTGAATTTCACGAACAATTTATGATTGACACTTTTATGATAACATGAACTGAACTAGAGAAAATTGGATCAAAAGGTAAAGTTTTTAATCCGCTGGAAATCTAAAAATTAAATTCCACTTTCGAAACTAGAAATCGTTCACGTTTTTTCGCGCCATTTCCACGTTCGTATTTGAAGAGTGCTATTTGCAACCTTTTCAGCAGATGAATTTCAACTGAATTCAAAACGTGCATTATATTCACTACGTTCATTACTCTAAAGTAGAAATAGGCCTCGAATGAGTAAAAATTCGGCTACGTCTCGGATTCGATCAGCGACCTACGGATTAAGAGCCTAACGGACTAACCACTCAGTCACGCACTCTGCTCTTTTTCCTTCCCTCCACATCATATAAGCATCAATTTTATGGTGTAATGAGGGGCTTTACAAGGTTAAGTATAAGAATCAAATGTTTGTCACAGCCTAATGTGAAAAGGACAATGGGAAATTACCAAAGAAAATTCGCAGGTGGGGGAAAAAAAAGAGTCACGCACGCTTAATACATCACAAAAACATAGCCAACATACAGTTGGAAAAGAGTAATGAACGCAAGAAAACAAAAAAACTACTTATTTCTTTAAAAATATCCAATTTTTGAAATTCGCAAAAAAATAGATAGCCTTAAAGTTCTTGGAATTTGTAGAACAATTTATGATGGACACCTTTTTTTGTTAAAATTAACCCAACTTGAGAAAACTGGATCAATAGGTTAAGATTTTATTTCGCGGGAAAATCTAATTATTAATTTCCATTTTTGAAATTAGAAGTCGATTACGTTTTTCGTGACCTTCACAATTTTTCTGTTCCATAGTGGAGTTTACAGTCCTTTTAACAATAGAAATGCACTGAACTTTAAAAAAAATCAGAAGTCAAAACGCTAAAAATTAAATATGAGCGTGAACAAACTTAAGACTTTTTCCTGAAAAAAAAGCAAGACCTATGTAAGAGTACTCACTACGTTCATTACTCTTGAACACTAGCCATAAATAAAGCAGAGAACAGATGCTAAGAAATTTCCAATGCTAGATCGTGATTATAGCAAAAATGCCACCAAATAAGTGAGCACTTTCGATTTTCAATGAACAGTTTTACTTGCGAGCTAGGTGAGAAAAAAGGGTTCGTACTAATACACTAGCTGTGGTTATTGTCAAAAATGTATTTTTAGTGAGAAAATTTTGATGATAACTTTTCTTTGATTTGATTTATGCACTGCCATCTTACACAAGGTAGTAAAGATCATTTATTCTCGCCACTATTTGATGTTATATTTTCCGAAAACCTAATCACCGCTGAGATGGAGTTAAAAGAATGGGTCAAAGCTGCACTTCTCAAGCCTAAGACCTCAAGCTGAAAAATGGAACCAGGATCTTTTCAAATTCAAGAACATACAAAAAATCTTGAAAAAACAAGGCTGGAGAAAGCTACGAGACTACAGGATTGGAACACCAGCCGTGCAGCGTCAAATGCATTCACACTAGAACTACATCATTGCTTGCTGTCTACTAAAAACTTTCACATTCTTGGTAAATAATTATGCTTTGAAACCGGAAGTTATCAGTTTGCACAAATGACAGACCGTGACCGGATTCAAACCGTCAACTCTTGTAGTGTCATGCATTTACGTTACCTCTGGATCAAAACGGCAGAAAAAGACGCGGAAATTTGAATTATGATAAAATGATTCACCAAATGATTCATTAGTATGTAAAACAGGTTGTTTCTTGATAAAATCTATGCTCCGATTTGATAACGCTGGCTACTCGCAGGCGTAGATGAGCGAATATAGATCCTTGTATTAAAACAGGATGTAAAGTTTGCACAAAAACTTGGCAAAGAAAAGATGGATTTGTGTAGGATTAAACGGCCCATTTTATGGCTGAGGGACAATTATATTGGGGCCTAGCAAAGATCCTCATGTTTCCAACGAGCACTTCAAAGTCCAAAATTTCAAATTCTATGGGCTGTTTATGAAAGTTCTTCAGCGCCCATAACACCGCTTTGACAAGCTTCGATTAAAAGCTCAAAAAATCTTAAAAAAACATTTCATCCGAAAATATCCTTATGAACAGTTTCATCGACCATGTGTCTAACTCCTAGCCTTGAATTTTAAGTAGTTACAGTGAACACGATAAATTTTCATTGATTTCATAAATTGCAACTTCTTTGTCCCATTGCCGCATGAAGTTTTATGAAATATTCAAAATTATATCACAGCCCACAGACTCGAAATATCCCATGTATATTTCGAGTCTGTGGCTGTTGAAATATACAGAGGCGAAGCTGTGCTTCGCAAACACTAGACAGAACACGACAAATAATATAAATAAAACTAAAAACTTGAAATAAACCTCGAACTAGTAAAATTTTGCTAGGTATTGGACTCGAACCTGCAATCTCGAGATAAAATTCTCGCGCCCTGCCCTCTCGGCAAAAGACGCTTAATTTTTGTCTAACACTAGTCACAAATAAAGTAACTACATATGCGAACAGATTGGCAAGGTGATGCAGCAAAAGTGGTAGCATAAACAAACAGACACAATTTTTCATGTACGAATTTCGAATATAACAAGCTGAAGGCCTCCACACTAACTTTACATTTATGCATTTAAAAAAAATTGCGAGATATATTGAGTTGGAAAATTTCTGAAACAAAGTTTTCGTTATTGTACTGTTGTTTGAAACAAATAGATTTTATCGGTTCATTCGCTGAATTAATAACGCATGAACTGTGTTTACTTATTAGCAATCGAATTTCAGCGCACATTCTTATTAGCAATCGAATTTCAGCGCACATTCTCAGCGCACTTAATTTGAATATATTAGACACGTTGGAACCTTTTTTCTTGAAAGGAAATACATAGCAACGGCAACCAACACGTTTCACGACAGCTTGATAACTCAATTTGGTGCAAATTTATTTACATATCCCATTACAATTTACAGAGTACTGACAGTGATCAGTTTCCGTAACAACCACAATCAAAATTGAACTCGATTTTTTGTTACCGATCTATTAATAACTCTGATACAAATATGCTCACACACTTTCTCATCTAACGGAAACATAATTGAGTTAACGAGCTTTTTTCATCATGTTCATTTCCATCACTTAAAAGCTTCGCGTTTCCAACAAATGGCCACGAAACATGAGTGATAGGCCCTCTAGGTTAAGATATATACCTTTATAAGTTCTGCTGGTAGCAAAAAAAACATACCCGTTTGGCTTCGTTTTCGGCAAATTTCCAGTAGCAGAGCTTAGTGTTGGTCAACGCGCACCATCGCATGTGCCAGATACCTTTGTTCACGTCTTCCATATTCTAAACATACTTTTCCATATTCTATTTATCTCAATTCACATGGGCCTAAAACTCGCTAGAGCGGCAAATAAAATGGCCTTTCGAAGAACGTGCGGAATATCTATGCATGGGGTGGTTTTTTATTCCGGCAATTTTCGACTTCTTACTTAAGTATTTTCGACGGAATTTTTGAACCATCTGAAAAACAGTTGTCGAGCTCAAAAAAAGTTATCTGTGATCATTTGGGGCTTTGAAAATTGCTAATTTGGAATAATTAACGCGCGATATAATGTGTTCTTATAACACTCGTAAGCGCGAAACTAAAGCGTTCCAAACTGAACTGAGACCAGCAATTTAGTCTTTTTAAAACAACAAACTGCTCGTATCAGGTCGAGGTCCTGAATGTTCCGACTGCATTTTAAGCCCTGAATCTTCTGACTGCATTTTGAAATCTATGGAATAGTATTCGTTTCAAAAAAAAAATTAGATGAAAATTTTTAAATTTTTAAATAAAAATGTCGTTTTTTTAAAACCATCACCCCGTACGCTATGTAAAGTACAGTATGAAATATTTTGCATATACCAACGTATTAAATAGAGCAATTAGCATGTTTCAATTCAATTTGAAACGATTTCTAGGACGGATCGAATCTCCGTCTACACCTTAATAGCACGATATACATCGAGCGCTAGCTATCCAAATTTGCTACCTTTAAACCATAATTTAAAAATAGTCACAGGTGAATTAAATTTTTAAATTTGAGCTTATGACAACAATACTTTTCCGCTGACATAAAAAAATCCTTCAAACATTGCGAGTTAAAAAATCTAAGTTTGTCTGGAGAAAAATCCACCCGAGCACAAACATAGCGTCATTTTCTCCGAAAATTGTCGGAACAAAAAGAGACCCTTAACATACCTTTCGTATCTTAGATAGCATGTGGGGTATAAGATGAAAAAAAAATCATTCTTTTTTTATTATTTCGTCAATTATTTAACCAGAAAATCTTTTGAATTAAACTAGAAGTGCAGCCGGATCACTCAGGACCTCGCCCTGATATGAAAGCATCCTTGTTCAGCATCTATCTAAGCTTGAAAAATCAAGTTTGGTCGGACAGAATTTTCAAGATACATCATCACGTCTTATATATTCGCACAAAGATCATTTTCTGATCTACTTAAGGAGCCCCTATTGCAATAGGGAGAGGTGCGAAAATTGTTACTATATACAAACTTAACATGAGATTAAACGAACAATTTTAACATCATAAGCTGAACGGTACAACATTAGCATATGCTTAACATTTTTGTCCCGACTTTCGAAGAAAGTGAGAAATATGCCCGGGGTGAATTTTTTTTATATTCAGACGAAATTAGGAAAGTTGATTGCGTATCGACATCGATCCGGAAACCTTGGGATTGCTCAGCGAGTACGCTTGCTCTAGACGGCTGCTGGAATAATACTTTGATATTTTGTTTCAATACACGAATTATTTATGCGCGGCAAATTACCCGCACATATAATCGTTCCAAATTGAACTGAGGCAAAGCTAATTGGTCTTTTTCTTCCGACTTTCGAAGAAAACGGAATATTTATGCTCGGTGTGGTTTTCTTATTCAGTCAATTTTCTCCGATCGAAATAATAGTTTGCAACAAAAATGTTTTAAACCCCATTGAAGATATCGATTTCCTAAGTTCAAATTAAAAAGATATTTTTTATTTTTTTTTGTGAATTTCTGCGGGTTTAAAAATTGCCAAATTGGCCATGTTCTGCACTAAATTATGCAAGCTTTGAAGAATTTATTCATATTGCCGAGAGCGCAAGCGAATTATTTATGTGTGGCGAATAATCCCGCACAACAAAATCGGTCAAAATTGAATTGAGGCTAGCTAATCGGACCTTAATTCAATAATTTCACATTTTGATATTGTCCAAAATTTATAAGTTTTCAATATTTTTTTCCCAAAAATTATTCGCTATGAATTAAGGGACATTCGGAACATTCAGGGTTTTGCTCTGATATACGAGCAGTCTTGTTAATTCCATAAACGACTCAACATTTGGTATTATATATTATCGGACTAAAATTCATGCTTTGTCAATATTTCATTTACCAAAAACTATTCGAGACTAATTAAGGGCAGTCGGAACATTCAGCGCTTTGCCTTAATACGAGCAGTCTCTTTCTTTTTAAGTGTGGCAATTCTCAACTAGGTACCATTGGGCTTTTTAAACTTATTTCGCTTACCGTCGCACAAAACTCACATATCCTTGATTTAGGTACGGAAGTCTGTTGCGACGGTGTAATCGGATACTAATGCTACCAAAATTAGTATGCCATATTTGGTTACCAGTTTAAGGAACCTTGGTATTAGCTGTAATCCCTTTCATTTCTCATTTTACTTGAGTGAGTTGGCTTACCAGGAATCCTTTGAATTCCATTTGAAAGAAAGGGTACAGGTCGCAGGAGACTCCCATGGTCCCCTTTAGTGGATTGATGATGTCATCACATTCAATCTAAACAACAAAATTCAAAATAAAGTCTTAAGAAGCTCATGGCCGAGAGAACAAAAATTTGTAACACGTTAATGTCTTTCGAACTGTCCGATAATGAATTTCACACTTATTTCTTTTCATCTTTAGCATGCTAAATTCTCATTTGCTGTAATAATTTTCGGCCAGATATGATTCCCTCAAGCTCTGAATTTAAGATCAAATTACGTTGCAATTGAAAGCACTCATTCGTTATATTTAAAACAATGAAATGAATGAACAAAATTCTACCCTGTAATGACTTCAAAAACATTTCACAAGCAATGTTGATCAATCAGTTCAAACTAACGCAATTAAATCAGAAAGAGAAACGGCTTCAAAGTAATTACTTCTTAATGCACGGAAATGATGATAATCCAATCAACCTAGAGACCAATTCAGCATTAGCTTACTAAAAACGACAACAATCTTCGCAAATGGAGCTATAAGTAGATGCATATTGTCTGAGAAAACGGCCAAATAATAAAAATAGATTTTTGATAAGAACACCATCCGTTCAGTTTTCAACTGAATCCATTAAAAAACTACTTCTGGCAGCAATATTCTGCTCTCTAATTTCAAAGCAAGTACGGGAACAAGCAATGATTTTAATGGTATAAAAAAAATTCCGCCGTTGCTTTTTGGACGAACAAGGTCATTTTTGAACTTGGCGGTGAAAAGTTTCAGGAAGGATACTGAAATGACTGTCACGTCAAAGAACAAGTAATATAAATCCTCGTAATAGCAATAAACTGAAACTCCTTTCCAAATTTAGATTCTTACAAATTAATTGCCCACACTTCCTACTTTCAGATTTTCTTAACTTCAAAAAAACATGAATCAATTTTGTTTTCAGATTATTTATCACTTATTATTAGGATCATGCAGATAATTAAATTTTTCAATTATGTTTCAAAAACGTCAAATCATTGTCTGAAACGCGCTTATTCAATCTTATTTTTGTTGAATTGATTTTATCAGTAAGAAACACAATTTTGTAAAATGATGTCGAAGATGAGTTGATCCGATTAATACAAACGAATTGTTAGCATATGTATATCTAACTCAGTAAGCTACTCAAAAAATTGCCCTGAATGTTTCGACTGTCTTTTAAGGTATATGAAGCAGAGTTCGCTATACAAAAGTCATGAATTTTTCAAAAAAGGGAAAAGTTTACAAAAAATTTGAGTTTTTTTTTAAAATCATCCCCACACAGGCCATATACACTACAAAGTGGAAGAATTCGCTCCTAGAAAGTAGAAATTATGACAAGTAGCCTGTTTCAACCAATTTGGAACAATTTCTACGAGGGATAAAATCTCCGCTTACGCGTTAATCGCGCGAAATATATCGCGCACTAATGTCCCAAATTGACAATCTTCAAACCCTCGAAATTTTATAAACATAGCCAACTGACAGTTGGAAAAGAGTAATGAACGCAAGGAAACTGAAAAAAACCTACTTGTTTTTTCAAAAATTGTCAACTTTTGAATTTCGAAGAAAAAAAAACAGATGGCCTTGAAGCTCTTTGAATTTGTAGAATAATTTATGATGGACACTTTTATGTTAAAATTGACCCAATTAGAGAAAACTGGATCAATATGTAATTTTTTTTTCGCTGGGAAATCTGATAATTAACTTCGATTTTCGAAATTAAAAGTCGATCACGTTTTCCGTGACCGTTACAATTTTGCTGTTCGATAATGGAGTTTGCCTTCCTTTTAACAACAGAAATGCAATGAACTTTAAAAAAGATTACAAGTCAAACTGCGAAAAATCAAAATTGAGCGTAAACAAAATTCAAAACTTTTTCCTGAAAAAAAAATTAGCAAGACCGATATAAGAGTACTCACTACGTTCATTTCTTGAAAAGAAATCATAAACCAAACCGCGAAAAATCCAAATTGAGTGTGAACAAACTTTTCGAGTTTTTCCTGAAACAAAACCAAGAAAAAAATCAGCAAGACCTATGTAAGAGTACTCACTACATTCAATACTCTTAGAAAATGATCACAGGTTTTAAAAAATCTTTTTGAATTTGAGCTCCAGACAACAATACCTTTCGGCTGATATAAAAAAGTTCCGTCAAAAATTCTTAGTTTAAAAAGTCGAAATTTGTCTGAAGAAAAAATCACCCCGAGCACAAATATTCCATTACGTTCGTTACAAAATTCGGAAGAAAAAAACGTACATGAATATCAGATGAAAAGAAATTAGTTTTCAAATATGTTTAAAAATACCTAAAGGTTTAAGGGAAAGAAGATAATAAAGAGGATATAATTTCTAAAAAAAATTGAGGAATGGAATATACTGCTCACGCATCTAATCCGAGATTGAAAGTCAAGTTGTCTATCATTTTATCAGTACAGCTGCTATTCATTTGCAATAGCTAACAAGAATAATTGATTGGCCAATAAAACAAAACTAAATGAACACGTCACAACGTTATATTTATAACGCAGTACATGTGATAACATACGAGAGTACAAAAAATAGAAAGAAAATTTTTTTCACGAGAAACTAGAAGGCAAAATTCAATATCAGATGGAACGATTCAACTTTCAAACTCAGATTCAACTTTCTATATTATTTCCAAACTAAATTTAGAAAACGAAGAATTTTATTTAGAGTAGACGGGAAACTACAATTGGTGAACCTATTTCTTCGATTCCGATTATTTTTGTTATTAAAAAGTTTTTATCGTGCATGATAACTTACATGTTGGCGCTAGATAATCACTTTTAACTGACCATGAATCCTCATATCGTAAGAAAGTGAAAATGTTTTCCCGATTAAAAAGTATTTTCTGATTTAGTTTTATCATTGCGATAAACAGATTCTTTAACTTCTCAAGGAAGACTTTCAAAGAAACTTCGACTACATAATCATCATCATCCATCAAAATTCCGCCATTGCTTTTTGGACGAACAAGGTCATTTTTGAACTTGGCGGTGAAAAGTTTCAGGAAGGATACTGAAATGACTGTCACGTCAAAGAACAAGTAAAACAAATCCTCGTAATAGCAATAAACTGAAACTCCTTTCCAAATTTAGATTCTTACAAATTAATTGCCTACACTTCCTACTTTCAGATTTTCTTAACTTCAAAAAAACATGAATCAATTTTGTTTTCAGATTATTTATCACTTATTAGTAGGATCATGCAGATAATTAAATTTTTCAATTATGTTTTAAAAACGTCAAATCATTGTCTGAAACGCGCTTATTCAATCTTATTTTTGTTGAATTGATTTTATCTGTAGGAAACACAATTTTGTAAAATAATGTCGAAAATGAGTTGATCCGAATTGTTAGCATATGTACATCTAACTCAGTATGTAAATCTAACTCTAACTTTGATTACAGCAAAAGTCCGACCAAATAAATGAGCATTTGAATTTGCGAGTTGGGCTGAAAAATATAGTAGATTCGAAATAATTCACTACGCTCGCAAGCTTGAATAGTGTAATGTAAATAGTCAAAATTGAAGATAGCTTGATCAGAAAAACGAACAAAAAAATTGAAAAGCAATTTCATTTTTTTTGCAAGTTCATTTTTACTTTTCTTCCACTCAGAAAAATAGCGCTTGATAAATTTCCGCTACGTAGTTATTAAAGGCTTAAAATACTTATAATAGCTTAAACGAACGCTAAGAACAGATCAATTCAGGACGGAAAGTACTTTTTTCTGATATAGCAATGAACTATTTCCTACAAATAGTAGTGGTAGCTAACTTTTGCGTGGGAAGTAAACTATGAGCTATAGCCATATTCGGATCATGAGACAATTAAATTAATTATCTTGCTTAAACCTATCAAAAAAACTTTCCCAAAAGTGAAGTGTTAAACATAGAGGCGAAGCTGAGCTTCGCACCACTTGCGATACAAAACAAGATAAAAAACTGAAGATGAAAATCAAACATGTTGAAAAAGTAAGATCTATCAAAATGAATCAGGCCAGGTTTGAAACAAAAACATGCCAAGACAACAGAATGTGAAATTAGCATTCCAAAATAATGTACCCAGTGGTAACAAAGACAAAAGTACCTTGTCAGAAACCCTTAACGCCAAAAAAATCAACAAGACAAGAATTTTGAAAAATTAGTAAGTATCCCGCGCCCTAAAAACACAAAAACACTCGAAAACTTTATTTGCTCGTCAAATGAAATAATATGAGGCCACTAAGCCGATATAATATAAGCCGAAACTATTTGGACAAAATAAAGTTTTTCAGCAAAAAAAGTTATAGGAAAGAAAAGTTACTAAAATTACAAACAGCAGGAGTAAATCAGAACACTACAAACAGCTACAATGTAACTTGCGTACAGCAAAAAAAATATATATTCTATCTACGAAGTGGAAACTAAGCCGACAAAACATAAGCAAACAATTCATAAGCCAAAAATTTTTTTGAAACTGAATATTTCTCGTTTGAAAAAACAGGGTCCTGTCAGATTCCAACTAACGACCTTTGCCGTCCCAGGCGTATTTGTTACCTCTAGACCCAGTGTGCCAGAGACGCAAGTAAACTTTAACTTATTATCAACTGAACCTAAATTTACCATTTCTAATGTTGACCATTCTGTGAACAAAATTATTTACGGGAAAAAAGCATAGTACCCGATTGCAACATTCTTGCTTATCACAAGGAAATATTAAATAAATTGAACTGAAAAATATTTTTAAAATAAATAATCTTGAAGCTCCTCAAAATTCTATATATGCCTTGATAGCTAATCAAAAAGAATGAACAAATGACATTTTTTGATAAAAATAACCCAATTTGAGACAACTGGATCAATAGGTACTTTTTATTCCAATAGAAAACCTCAAACTTAAAAGCCACTTTCGAAACTAGAACTCGATGACATTTCTGGTGACCTTTACCAAAGAAAATGAAATGATTTTACACAGAGGCTTCGCTTCGCAAGCACTAACGAGAACTCGACAAAAAGCAGCTCTAGACAGAGGCAAAGCTGCGCTTCGTAAACTTTTGCAAGAACACTACCAAAACGCAGCTCTATCAGATGACATAGAAAAAAAAATAGAAATAAACCTCCAATTTGCAAAAACTAGCAAATTTGAGTCTCACGAAGTAACCATTCAGCTACGGATGCTTAAGTCCCCAAAAATTAGCCAGCAATAACTCAGCTACATATGCTAATAAATCGTAAACTCGATGCAGCAAAAGAAACACTAAATACACAAAGATACAACTTTGCATGTAATAAATTGCAAATCCTAAAGCCACATTATGTACAAATTATGCATTTCAAAAAATGGCGAGATACATTGAGTTAGAAAATTTCTGAAACTGAAAACTTATTTTTGTGATGTTGCTTGAAACAAATAGCTTTTTTCGTTTCACTTGATGAATTAAAAATGCATCAACTGTGTAAACTTACAACTATTCGAATGTCAAAGCACATGTTATCAATAAACTGTAAAGGTGCAACAAATAAGCTGCCATGTCAAGGCAGCAAATATTGCAGCAAATATAGTAGTCGCAACAATATATGCGACTTAGGTTGGAAAAAAAAGAAAGTTCGTACTATAACACATTGCTTCTTATTGTGTAAAAATGGAATAAGAAAAAAATAGAAATAAACCTCGAACTAGCGTGTACCGCACCACAGGTGCTTCGAATTTTCAACAACTCAAAAACTTCTCTTTGAGTGTGCTCTAACAGCACCCAATTACAGGGTTCGTAATTAAAAACTTTGCAACGTTTTTGATTCAAGTTTTTTATACAAATTTTGAAGAACCATAAAATTTTGTGAAGTTTTATAAAAGTTCTTCGAAAAATTTAAAATGAACTAAGAAACGTCACATCTGGGAAACTGAAAGCAATTGAGCAGTCGCATTTGGACGCAAGATTTGCAACTCCTGAGAGTAACTTCAAATTATGGTAAAATTTTTCATTCGATTTTTTAATTCAAATTTTGAAAACCTATAAAAATTTGTGACATTTTTTTATATTTAAGTTTATAGTGAATTAAAAAACATCACATCTGGGAAACTGAAAGCAATTGAGCAGTCGCATTTGGACGCAAGATTTGCAACTCCTGAGAGTACCCTTACAGTACCCAACTACAACGTTTCGAAGAAAAAATGCACATTTCGAAAACTACCAAAATTTGAGCAACCTTTTTTGATGGCAATATTCGCAATCTTTGAAAGTACACAACTTAAGGTTTGGGAATTTCACTATAACGAATTATTTTGTAATTTGAGTTTTCTGAAAATGTCCGAAAATATCACAAAAATCGTCTTATCTCTTAAACAAAAATGATTTGGGCATTCTTTATTGAAGGCCGAATTTGCAACCCCTGAGATTACTCTGACAGCCCCCCAACTACAGGTTAGGAATTTCAAACTTTGAAAAAAAAATTAATTCAATTTTCATGAAATTTTTTTGAAAAAATCACAAAAAACTTCATATCTGGAAAACTGCAAGATTTTGAGCAGTCTTATTCAGAGGCAAGATTCGCAACCCCCTGAGAGTACCCTCACAGATTCCAATAACAGGATTGATATCTTCAAAGTTGGAACTTTTTAACATTTAATTTTTTTTTGGATCATAAAAAACGTCATATCTCGAAAACTACAAGGATTTAAGTAGTCATATTGGGACGCAAAATTCGCAACTCCTAGAGTACCCTGACAGAGCCTCACTACTGAGATGGTAATTTCAAGTTTTGTTAAATTTTTTATATCTAAGTTTTGGAAAAAAATCCAAAAAAAGTCATATCTCGAAAACTACACGGATTTGAGCAGCCATATTCAAAGGCAAGATTAGCAACCCCTGAGAATACCCTCACAACATCCAACAACAGGATTGAGATCTTCAACGTTTTGGAATAATTTTTTAAAATCTGTTTTTGAAATTTTTTTGAAAAAATCATAAAAAAACGTCATATCTCGAAAACTACAAGGATTTGAGAAGTGAGAATTGGAAGCAAGATTCGCAACCCCCCGAGAGTACCCTGACAGTACCCAACTACAGGGCGAGAATTTCAAAAATTGAGAAATTTTTTAAAATTGAGTTTTCCAGAAATTTTTTGAAAAACCTCGAAAATTGCCTATCTCGTAAACTGAAAGGATTTGGTTATTCATATATAGGGGCCAGAATCGTAAAACCTGGGAAAACTGACAATATCCAACTATTGGGTTGTTAATTTCAAACTTGATGGAATAAACACTGAATTTAAACTGGAAAATCGAAAAAAAAAACCTTAACCATTGCAATATACGATATAACTTAAACGTTAAAAAACTCATTTGTTAAACATGCAAAAAAATACGTTGAAAAAGCTTAAACATGGCGAAATAGTGAAGCCCGCATTTAAATATATAATAGATTATTAAAAATTCGTCTAGGTATAGGATTCGAACTTCCGCCGTTTGCAATCAAGAGATTTTGATTCTCACGCACTAACTTGTCAGCCAAGCACGCTTAACCACCGACAAAAACTAGTCACGAATAAAGCAGCTACACATGCTAATAAATTGCCAATCGATTCAGCAAAAGTGGCACCAAATACAAATAGACATAACTTTGCAAGTAATAATTTGGAATATAACAAACTGAAGGCATCCATACTAACTTTGCATGTAACAAATCGGAAAGCATACAGCCACATTATGTATAAATAAGGCATTTCAAAAAAATTGCGAGACAAATTGAGTTAGAAATTTTCTGAAATCGAGTTTTTACCATTATGTTGTTTGAAACAAATAGCTTTCTTCGGTTCATCTGATGAATTAAATTAAAAATGCATCAACTGTGTTAACTTATTACGATTCGAATGTAAAGCACAGGTTATCAAAAAGCTGTAAAGGTGTCCCAAAAGTGGCACCAATATTTGTCACTTAGGTTAGAAAAAAAAGAAGGTTCGTAACAATACACTAAGCTGACGAAGTGTAAAGACGTAATCGAAGCCAACCTCGAAAAATTCAACCTCGACTTGTACCAAAAAAAAATACAAAAAAACACAGAAAAAATATAACGACCTTTCTCAACGTTCATTGACACTTAGAAACAGAGAGTCTTAACTCAACCACATTGTTCGATACATGAATTTGGGCGAAGCACATGATTCACAACTCAGCCTAATACTTACTTGTTCCAATTGCAGTTCCTTACTGTTACAATTTTTCTTCGTCAGAACAACCTGAGCTGCCTTTTTGAAGCCCATCTGCCTGTAGCCAGGCGTGGCAGCAGGCGAGAAAGTCAAGGTCGCCATCTGTTTCGCGTTGTGATGACCGCTACCTTTACTTGCACTTCCTGGCGTATCTGTAGAGTGTTTTGCTTTCTTCACAAAAGGAGATGTCAAAAAATACGCCGCTTTTCGCTTCTCAGCACTGTGTAATTTGGTCTTCTTTCGCTTATCTTTATTAGATTGCTGCGACTGATGTCCCTTGTCTGCAATATTAAGACAAGAGTAACCCCAAACTTCAATTACCAGTTCAAACTTCGGGTCCACGTTTCTGAAGGTAATCATGTTGGCGAAGGTGACCGCTTTGTAGTCTGAGCCTGCAGATACTAACTGAGTAGCAATAACTTGTGTTTTGTATCTTATTAGACATACATAGTGTATATTGTGTTTCGTCAAATTCAGGTGAAACATTTCGTCTCTTTTTAAAGGTATATTAATGTTGGAAAGCGTGATGTTTCCGTAGCATGGCAGGGGTTTGTCGATAGTTTCGGTTGAACTCGAGAACCCGCTTCCACTTTCAAGTTGCCGTTCTGAGCTTCTGTTGCGTTTCAACAAGGTGTAGTTCCTACAACAGCAAGATTCTAAACTAAGAGAAAAACTGCCACAAATAATGAAAAAACTGGAAACACACTATCGTCGTGCCTATTTTATTCAAATCTGCGCCTCCTGAAATGTTCAATTCCCAAGCAATTTACAGCTACTAGAGAAAAAACAAAACGAATAGAGTATGTTGAAAGCAAATTTAGTCTCCTGAAATCCCATCAATCATGATTATTACTTAACTAGTCTTATTCCTCATTTTATTTTTATTCTTTTTTGCAAACAAGTAGGTATATTTAGCCCTTCTGACAAGCTCGAATAATTAACAAATCGGAATATAGCCGATTGTCTGTTAATTTGGATGACAGTTTTTCAAATCCATTACTCGAATTTACCTGATGAGCTACAACTGAATGAATTTACAGAAATAGCTGAACTAAATTACTTCGAAATAAAGATGCTAATTTGAGTAACCTGATTTCGCTCTAACGATTTTTTTGGCTTTTCATGCTTTAATTTCGCCAGTGGAAATTTTTTAAAAAAAATTAGGGATTTTATATATTTTGCAAAAAATGACGTATGGCTGATATGGTTTTTCATTTGTTATTTAGTGCTTAAACAACCCTAAAACCAAGCTGGATTGTAATAAGTTATCTAAAAATCTAACTGGCTGTAAAATTGTGACTTCCTTAAAAATTTTCTATTTTTTTTTCGGAATCTCATTCCATAACTCAAAAAGACCTCCTTATCATTACACATCTTTCTTTGTGATACCAAAAATATTGGCCCGAAACATAGGACTAGGCTATAGATCCTTTCCTAAATGTGGGTAGCCGGAAACATAAACTGATTTCTGCTTTTCAAAGCAGTATTTTGAATTTAACGGCACTGTCAAATTATAATTATTCTAGTCTCCAAAAAATAGTTTCAAAAAATTTATGTTCCGATTCAATGATCCCAGCGCAATTGAATCAGATCATTATAAACAAGCTAATTGCGTGGTTTCGCTTTTCTAGACCGAGCAAGTTTCGAACCTGAGTGCGGTCAGTTCGTTTTTCAGCGCCTCCTGTCGTGCATGTGAGAGAAGCAGTACCCTCTCAGCCTCAATTTGCTCCTCTGAGTTCTTGCAGCTGTTCCTGGTCTCCGCTATGTTAAGAGCCCTACTCACTTGCTGAATGATCTTCTGCTGTGCCTCTATTTCATCCATTAGCACCTTAACATATTCAATTTCAGTATCGAGCATTACTCCAAAACAGAGTTAGTTCTCAAGGCAGACCGCTAAAATAGTCTTGCTTCGCGCACAATCAGCATGTAAATTTAGAGGTTTAGCAATGATTAGATTGTTAAAACAATTATAGATCTCAAGCTAATCTACTTTCATTTACGAAAGCTAAGGAAATAGCTTCATTCCGTTTGAATTAAAATTGTTTCTGTCAAAAACTAAGAGCCTGAGCACGCGCTGTAATTCAAACGCAGCATCACTGATTGGATGATTTGATTAAAACACAAGTCTGCTCGTATCAGGGAAAAACCACGAACTTTCTCTCTGTGGCGTCTAAATATATTGTGGTTCAAATTTCGGGAAATTTTCCAAACCATCAGCCAACCAGCAATGAAAGACTTTAAAACAACTCAAAGAAAAAAAAAGTTCTTTTTTGAAACTTTCGATTTTATAAATTCACTTGGAATAATATGAGCCGCATTAATTCTACGTATTTGCTAAGCGTTCTGAGAAAATTGCAATTTCGGCGCTCATTATTTATCCATAAGCAAAAAATATTGCAGTATTTAAACCTCGATAACTGCACAAAAAACTATCAGAGGTGAAAAACCGAAATTGGTCTGAATAAAAAACAACACTCCAAGCTCCGTCACTTTCGTCGATTGCTTTGTCAAACTGATTGAGCCAGCCAACTGATAGTTGGAAAAGAGTTTTAAAAGTTTTCAAGAAAAAATGTAAGCCCTTAAAGCTCTTTGAATTTGACGAATATTTTATGGTTGGCCCTTCTTTGAGAAAACTGAATCAATAGGTAAAGTTCTTTTTACTTGGTTAGCTGATAATTAAATTCCATTTTTGAAAATAAATGTCGATAACGTTTTTCGTGACCTTTACGTTTTTGCTGTTCGAAAGTGGAGTTTGCCTTCCTTTCAACTAAGGAAATGAAGTGAACTTAAAAAAATTAGAATTCAAACCGCAAAAATCAAAATTGAGCGAGAACAAATTTTATGACTTTTTCCTGAAAAAAAGAGCAAAAAACCACCGAAACCTACGTAAGAGCACTCAATACGTTCATTACTCTTGACCGAAAATAACCAAAAAAATTGCATGTAGTTCTTAAGCAGGGGCACAACAGCGGTCAGGGGAGCAGTGGTGAAGTGGTTACGTCTCCGCCTCTCAATCGAAAGGTCGGATGTTCGAGGCCCACCATGATCCGTGCTCGTTGCTTGAGGGTGAGGCAACATTACCCAGCCCAGAAAAATAACCAAAAAAATTGCATGTAGTTCTTAAGCAGGGGCACAACAGCGGTTCGCCGTGATGAGCTGTACAGCTCGTATGTTGGTCCTATCCCTCGTGGATAAATGATCTTAAAAATACTAGTTTAACCAATTTGGTCAAATGTCAAAATAAGCATTATTTAACCAATTAATATTAACTAGTACATAAGCTATTTAGGAATGCATTCGGAGCCTAAGTAAAGCATCAATGATTTTTTCCAAGCACTCCAAAGATTTAATTAGTCGCGTTCCTTCAATCTGAACGAGTGCGTAAAATATCTTTTATTGAGCTCAAGCTCTCAACTACTCTACTTCTGGACATCGAAAAACAGCTTCAGGCTATGGCTCTGCTGTTTAAAGAGGAACGATGCTGAAGAAGAAAATTGAGTGGAAAGAGACGACTTTATTACACTTTATTTACCTCTATCCCGCCAAAATGTCTCTGAAATATGAAAATAGCTTCAGGGAAATTCCAGCTTTCAATTTTAATGTTGCAATAAAAAAAGAACAAAATCTACTTCTCTTCAACGCGTGTTTCAGATTCGTTTCCATCTAATGTTGATATTTGAATAACCATTTTTTCATTTGAAAGTCGGATTGGCAAGTAAATTAAATTACATAGAAAAGGCGATTGGCGCAAAAATTTATGTCATTATGTAATTGATACGCATTTACATGAGGAACTAAAAAAAACTTTAGCGACCCTTCTATCATAAACGTCTCCACCCCAACCATTAAGCATTTAAGCAGACGGAGGAGAGCAAATTCTCCGTCGCAGAAGAAACGAAAGTTATTGCACTTAATCAGAACTCAGTGTTCAAAAATCTGAAACGGAACGCGAAAATTCAGTCAGAATTTTGGACCTACAAATTTCATGCATCTTTTCAGAAAGCTTTAACTGAACGAAAATCAATTGTCTCGCATATTCAAGGGTTGAAATCAAATTATTTTGAAAAACAATTAAACCGATATTCATGACTATTCGAATAATTTCTAGTGCTTGGTAAATTTTCCGCTATTTGGTTCTTCTGATATGAGATTGGTGCGTGACAATGACGTTTAAATGTATAATAACTACAAACCGATGCAGTGACAGCAGCTGCTTGTTCTGATCCCTCCGAGACCAGAGTGCAGTCCACATCTGACACGTCATACTCCCCACCAAGTCCTCCTGAGCTAGAATGGATTGTTGAGTCCCCACTATTGGCACAAGTAGAACTAGCCGACCTTAAAAAAGCAAAATTTCAAAACATAGCAAACAGAATCTTGGGGAAAACTACATGTACTCAAAAACGAAAAAACATAGCCAACAGACAGTTGGAAAAGAGACAATGAATGCAATTAAATTAAAAAACAGACCCGAATCAACGGTACAGCATATAAGAATTTTAAACCTAGTAATGAATTTCCACCTGTAGCAAAATCATCATCATCATCATCACATATGTTATTTCGACACCAATTTCTTGAATTCAAAGGTGTTTGAGTTTAATTAAAAACCAGTTTTGTCGTATAAATAATCAGTCGCTCTGCTAAAGATGAGTTCGTTTCTGTCAATAGCCGTACCCACTCTAAAATGAGCTGGGATTTAAACAGAAAATGTTCTTTGAAGATGGTTAAAAATCGGACCCGCTCTAAAATGAGCTGGGCGTTTCATCGTCGTCGCCTTCTTTGCCTTCGTTTCACAGCCATTGGATTTTCTATGCTTCTGAAGGCGTCATAAAAGTCCTTAGCAAGTTCGCGCACGCCATTTGCTGTGGGGTGAAGTCCATCTGCGCAAACATGCCTCCGATAGCTGAACTTTACAGTTTTAAAGAGCGGGATTTTATACCATGCCGTTAGATTTCTGTAGCATTTATTCACTCTCCTGATAAGAGAGCGTTCACCTTCCCGGCTAATAAGTGACATGACGCCAACTTCGAAATTGCAGTCAAGGAGTCTAAAAATAGCACTCTCCATCTCCTCGGCTACTTCAGTCGCTCCCAATGACTGGCGCCCTGAACGGTCAAACAGGTTGTTTGTTCCTCCCATTATGAGCACTGTTTGTACATCCAAGTTTTTCATATCATTGAGAACCTGATCGCTACAAAGGGTTGAGAGAGTTCCACCAGGGCACAAAACTGTCACTGAATCTGGCAGAAAAATCCCATAAACTAGCGATGATCCCAAAACAGCATATGTCACTCTCTTGATCTTATCAGAGCTCAATATTATCCGTCTTTTGGGGAGAAACCTGGTTTCAACATGAACATTTCTTAGACGCAAGGTTTCGTTTAGCTTTTGAATTCCAACCTTTCTAGTTTCAGTCATTTTAGCAACCTTTAACTGAAACAAGTCTCATAGTAATACTGGTTAAACAAATACGTTTTCAACTGTTTACGAAATTCAGTTTCATTTGGTAGTTTAAGGTTACATGGTAAACTATTCCAATGGTGTGCGGCAGCAAATCTAAACGTCCTTCTTCCATAGTTCGTGTTAACCAGTGGTTTCTTAATGACCATGGTCCTTTCACTGAAACGGGAGGAACTTTTTTGTAGTGAAAAATATTTACTCAGATAAGACGGAACGATTTGAGGATTGAAAATGCATTTGTGTACGATTGTCAAGACTTTAAAAATCACTCGAGATTTTATGGGCAACCAATGTAGATCATGTAGATAAGGAGTAATACTCGTTGACTTCTTCAAACCGAAAACAAATCTGCAGGCACTATTTTGGACTTTTTGCAACTTGTAGAGCAGATAATTTGGTAAGCTCGAGTACAAGCTATTGCAGTAGTCTAATCGACTTAAGACTAGCATTCTTGCCAACATATTTCTATTTTCAAAATCAAGGTAGAAACGTATGCTGTATAGTTTCCGGAGACTGTGGTAACTGGCGCCACACACGGAATCGATCTGTTTTTTCAATGACAAGGATCGGTCAATGAGGCAACCTAAAGACTTCACAGAGTTTTCTGTTGATTTCATCAGCTTAACCGTTGAATTTCCAATGAGTATTGAACCGTTTGTTAGACCTTTTGACTTACTAGTGGCTAGGTTAATTACTTGGCTTTTTGATTCATTTAACATAAGCCCCATGGACGAAAACCAGTTCAAAATAATAACCAGAGATCTTTCTATTTCTGCTACTTCACTCTCATTTTTAATTTCACAGTATAAAGTAGTATCATCGGCATACACTTGGTATGAAAATTTAGTTGAGCCAATAATATCGTTCAATGGTGTCAGGTAGATTGAGAACAGGAGGGGTCCCAGAAGAGAACCTTGAGGCACTCCAAATTCGAGTTCTTGAGAATTCGATAAAACATCATTGATAGCAACAATTTGAGTCCGATTCTCTAGATAGGAAAGAATTAGATCCACTGCATCATTCGTCATTCCAATCCGATTTTTCATGATCTTTCTCAATGTTTTATGATCAATGGTATCAAATGCAGCTGAAAGGTCAAGGGCTATCAAAAGGACCTGTCTCTTGTTGTCGAGACTAGTCAGTAGATCATCTGTAGTTTTTAGCAGAGCCGTTTCAGTTGAAAAATGCTTCCTGTAAGCAGATTGGTGTTCATATAGAAGATTATAGGAGCTAAGGTATTGATCGAGCTGTTTATATAAAATTCTTTCAAAAACTTTACTGATAAACATCAGATTCGCTATTGGTCTATAAGAATTTAAAACGTTTTGGTCAAGTTTGTGGTCTTTAAAGAGAGGAGTTATCACCGCTCTCTTGAGACACTTTGGAAATTTGGACTGATCGATGCAATTGTTTATCATAATGATGGAATAATCTTTCCACGAGTGTGCGATTCTTTTCATATCTATAGTTTTCAGTATATCTTCTCGTGAGTTCGCGTTTGAAACCATTCTTACTGCTTCTTCTAGTTCATCTATAGTCACATATTGGAATTGGAAAGAAGAAACTGCAGTGAAAGCAAAGAGTGGCGGCGAGATGCCATTACTTTTCACATTTGCCACTAAATTTCTAACCTTCTGAATGAAAAATTGGTTGAAGTTTTCAGCTAATTCATAATCACTGGAGTATATCAGTGGTAGAACGTTTTGTTGTTTTTCTCCAGCAAGGCGTTTCAATTCACGAAACTTGAGCGAATGGCTATTTGAAAGCTCAAAGCGCCTGGAAAAATATATCAATTTCTTCTCTCTAAACAGATCTTTACATTTCTTTAAATACTCCTTGAAAGCTGTTTCGTTTTCTAATCCAGGATTTACACGCATTACGCGTTCTAATTTTCTACGTTTTCGTTTTACGTCTGCTAACTCTTTATCGTAAAAATTACAAAATCGGTTTTTGACAACTTTGGTCTTAGTTGGCACATAATCAGTTTTCAGCAGCTGCAAAATTTCGATAAAATTCTCCGCCATCTCGTTCGGGTCACTGGTGTTCAGATTCAAGATTAAACTCTGATCTATTTCCGTCTCTAAATGTTTCCAGTCTGTATTGTTCCAATCATAAATAGTCAATCTGGTTTTATCCTTCCGTTGAATTGCGATTTCATAAGTGAACGTCAATAGATGGTGATCAGAGTATTCAACGTGCTCATTTCTAACGGGTGAGCACAATTCCGGGTTTGAACAAATTATGAGGTCTAGAATTTTCCCGTATTCGTGAGTTGCTTTCTTAACAATCTGTTCTAGGTTATATTCCAGTAGAATCGAACAAAATGTATTGGATTTGGCACAACGTCTGTTTTCTAGATCCAAATTAAAATCACCCAGGAGGAGAATTTGGGTTTCAATTGATGAAGCAAGAATATTTTCAGTCAATTCATTAAAAAACTCGTTATAATTTCCACTCGGCGGTCTATATATTGCTGCAATTGTTATTTTGACTTTTCTAGTCACGACCGTAATTACCAAGAATTCACCATCGTCCGAGAGATGGCTTAAAATTCTTTCACCCTGTAGTTCTTCGCGAGAAATTATGGCAACACCTCCACCTATTTTAGCCGTTCGTGAAACATGATGGTATCGATATTCATTTGAAGAGTCTATGCACTGATTTAGAATATATTCCGTATCCGGCTTAAGCCAGGTTTCAGTTATGATCAAGATATCAACTTGTTCTATAGCCAATATGCTCTGTATTTGATTTACTTTTTTCGCTAGAGAACGTATATTAATTACACCAACTTTCATAGCATTCGATTGAGACTCGGGTTTTTTATTTGATTTTAGTCAGTCGCTTTTCAAAGTTCTGAGCCAGGTTCTGGCTTCTGCATCAAGATAGTACCTGTTAATTACAACATTTTCCGGCCAAGAATTAGGTTGATCAATGATTGTTGCATGTTCGCCGTCAAATACACAGTGGAAACTTTTGTGGCGAGAATTTTCCTTTGTTATTTCCCTGATATGATTCAGAGGAAATCCTTTACTTTGACACCATGCGACTATATCACTTTCATCATTTGTCTGTTTAATTCTTCCAACATAGAGATGGCGTCGTGGTGGTGGCTTTTCTACACCTTTGAGTGCTTCTGTTACCACTTCTCCCGTAATTAGTAGTTTCTTTGGTCTGCGGTCATTTCTATCTTTGGAGCCTTTTCGCTTCGTAACCCTCGAGCTACCAGCTTCTGAGGATACACTTTCACGAGCATTTCTGATGAATGCCGAAGAATTCAGATTAAACTTCGCTGCCCCAGCATAATTGGTTTTGTTCTTTTCAATTATACTACTTGGTTCACGATATTGCTTCAGCGATAGCAGCTCAGACTTTAATTCGTGTACATCTTGCGCCATAGTCTTTATTGAGAACAGTTCTTGTCGCAGTTCTCGTCGCAGTTCAAAAGGGGGATATAGTTAAAGATATCCGATTTCTGTTCGACAAGTTTGTTTGTGACAAACAAAACATATTGAACCTCTATTACGTATTAAACTTAACAATTTTTATCGTATAGTTAAAGCTAGTTTATCATGTAGTCAAAGACTAGAGTATTTAAAGTCATTAAGCTAACTGCAAAACTCTGGCTGTATTTATTTCAATTTAAACATCTATAAAAATACGATTGGCACAGATTTCGTCCTACTACAGATTTCGTCCTATTTATTTATTTAATAGATTTCGTCCCATACCCAACATCCTAACATCCCATATCCAAATTGGTGGGACGAAATCTGTTGAAATTAAAATGGGACGGAATCTGTCATGGGACGAAATCTGTCACAGCCAAATATACATTGACTTAGAAAAAACTCCAAAATTGGGTAAAAAAATTTAAACATCATCCACGCAATCCTCCTTAAAAGACATACCGCAGAAATTTCCTCCTCATTCATTCATTCATTTGAGAATTAAACCTTTACAAATTGTGCATTTCGTAAAAAAAAATATAATATTTGGATTAACTTCTGACATAGAAACTTTTGACTTGGAAACTTAAACTAATATGTACTTTACGTTTTTTTCGCGTCAATGCTATTTAAGTAATTGGAAAGCGTAGTTTGCCTTTAAATTAGTCAATAATATTGAACTGAACTCAAATCAAAATTCAAAACACAAAGTAAATTTGAGCGTGAACAAATTTCAAATGTTCTCCTCAAAACCAACAAAAACCATATTACCTAAATAAGTTATAAATCACTTTGTTCAGTACATTTAAAAGCCTCCTGGTACTGCAGGAGGAGGGGTACTACTATGATAGACCTGCTTTTAATATATATTTTTTTCCGACTTGGGTAGAAAAAAGTGAATTCGCGGCTTGCTGGTGTAAATACATTGACTTAAGTGCGAGCAACAGTTACAGGAAACTCGAAGTTCTAAAAAAGGAAATCAAAAAATGAAAACATATTGATCGCTGCAACAATCTGTACTAGTTGCGCAGAAATTGGTTTCTCTTGTTAACATTGTAGAACACTATCCATGATTGTTAGTTGAGAAAATCAAAATGAACATATTCACCTAATGGTGCTGTAGGTACAGTTATTGTCCCTTTCGTTAACCAAATCTCGACAAGTCTTCGATTCAAACTGCTGTGATGTCGACGTCGGTAACTTCTTGAACGACTGACGCTCATTTTCAGCAGTTGCTGTCAGTCTTGGCAAAGACAAGAACTGAAACAATAAAAACCCTGCATATCAAGAAACCATATTTGAACCGAGATAACCCAACTCAGGCTGGTAATCCACAAGTAGACACTATATGACCAATACAATTCAAATAAAGAATATTATGTAATAAAACCCGGACTCTTAACTTCTAATTTTATCACCGTTAAAAACCAAAATTTATTTATGGATTAAAAGCAAAGTAATAACTTTTTATACCGGTCTATTAATAAATACAAGGTGCCCAGCTTACTTCAGCTCGAAATATGTCCTTTAAGATCTTTCCATCTTTGGAGAAAAAATTGAACCTTTCATAAATCAATTTTCTGCACAACAAAGGACAAGCTTTGAGCTCTTACGCAGAATGAAATTTAGGAAAGAAACAATTTCTGGTATTTCTTAAGTTAAGATTAAACTAGATAATGACTTCCGCTTAAGAATCCTATTTGCAGTTACAACACACGCCCAGCAGGATAAAATTCATGCAATCGCACTTCCTATTAGATATGCAACAGATAGCTTCTATCAAAAAACTTGATATGAATAGTCACACGAACTTCAAAAACACCTTAAAATGTTGCGATTAGGGCAACCAAGTGGTGGAAAGGGGCTAAATTGGCGGAGTTTCTTCGATGTGGCGTAAAAATGAAATGGTGAAATCAGATTTTTGTGCTGTTTATCATACATTTCGGAGCAAAATATTATCCAGAAAACAGAAGAATAAGCAGAGTAGAGAAAATAACACAGAAATTTTTGAACTTTTGAAGGTTTTGATTCTCAAAATGGCGCTAAGAAATCATAAAACTAATTTTAATCTAGTAAAACTATAATAAGCATAAATAAGCTATTGTAAGCCTCCAATTTCATCTTATTAGCTCGAAATTGGACCAAAAATCAAAAATTTTAAACCGGTTTTTCTCGACAGAAAAATTTTCGAATCGCGTCTGAAAGGGCTTTATTATGATATAAAACTCAAATCATTCCTATAATTTCTGTGGTACCTGCTTTTGCGTGAAAAAAAAAACCCACATGAAAAAAAGTTCCTCCAAATTTTGCAAATGGTCGGAACAATTACGAATGCATTAATTTTAGCATGGAGCTCTTTAGTTTTTCTAGACTATTGATTGGTTGAATAGGACATAGCACTAATTAAACGTTATTTATTTTGACCCCTTCATCTCTTAGAGGGTCACTTTAGGCTTATTTTACGACATCCATTACTGCCATCTCGAAAATTTTCCAAACTTTCAATATTATTAAGAGATTTGACAAAAGTTTCTGCGACGCAGGCAAACTTTAGAGAAAAAAGAACGAGCCAAAAATGACGTTTGAAGAAATTTTATAGAAGTAATTTTTTGGCGCGCGCTCTCCACTTATAACTTGAGGATCTTTTCCATACCCACCACGTTCGAATTTCAGTTTTGGAAGGCTAAAAAAAGCATTGTCTTTATGAAAAGAAAACTGCACGATGAGCGAACAAACTATTTCGAACAGAATAAATTTGTTCTTGTTGTTGTAGTTGCCTCGTCGAGGGGCAGCGCATAAAGTTTCGTCATTTTGGTCAGATTTCGTTAGAAATGGTCTTCATTTTCTTTTAGATTGGGTTGCGCGTTAGTTCAGTATTTCTTCAGACAAGGTTGAGTTTTCAGTTTGGGTTAGTTTTCAGCACTTCCAGTGAAAATTTGTTATTTGCGTCGTGTCGTCCAAGTCCCACACTGCAGCACCCGTAGGTGTGCCTCTGGGTAGAAGGGGACTCGATTCCAATAATTCAGACGTCAAGTGATTCTGGTTCCGACGCCTGTTTCGGTGAATCACCAAGCCCTCAAACGGGGAAAGGATGGCGAACGGGGAAAGGATATGTGCGGAACACCAGACAGAGGAACGGTTTTGGTTTCCTAGCCGAAGCTATGAGCCAGTATTCAGTCATCGGGAGCGAGCTCGACTGATGTGCTTGGAGGCAGAACCAATCTGAGGAAGGCCGAAGCCTCGACAGGATTGGACCAGAGTGAAAGACTAGTGAGTGTAGTTGGGTTTAGGGGACATTGAAAGAGGTGGTTGGTATCGTAATTCGGCTTAATAATCTGTTGAGCAAACAAAACTGCATTTCATATAATGTGAGGAAACTTATAAAGGGATACTTTCATATTAACATGGGAGGTAGTATTCCTCATGCCAGAAGGGGCTGCCAATTGCAATTGAGCATTCAAAACCTCATAGAAGTCGCAAAAATAACAAAGAATTTATACTGATCCAGGGCAATTAGCTGAGTACCAAAAAGATAATGCAATCCCACCGATGTTTGCTTGCCAGTAACCCCTATCCTCCCCAGATCGCCTGGCACTTATTGGCGCAAGAGCTCCCATCGCTATGGAAGACAGTTTTCAAAATCATAATTCTATCCGACCTCTTACCTCACTTGATGTAGATGCATACTCGGATTCGTCTTCGTAGCTTTTATTTCCCAGCCTTGACTGTGCCCCAATGTATGGTCGGGACACCCAGTCATTAACTGTCGCTTCTGTAGTCTCGGATGACGTCGAGTCCATCTCCGATCTCCTTGAGAAGTTAAGTTTGCTGTAGATACTATCATTCGTTTCCTAAAACAGACAAAATCTACATCGCATCTTCGCTACAATAGACGTATCCCTGCAAAGTGTCCCTACAAAACCCAATTGAAGTGTCCCAGCAAAACCCATTTGTGGGAGAGGGGCCCAAAATTAGACTACTTTTAAGCTAATAGCAATATATTAAATAAACAAGAACTGCTCGGCTATTTTCAAGACCTTGTCGAACTTAATTAACAAAAAGCATACGCGTGATTTATTTTTGTTTCAAGTGTCATCAAGATAATGAACTGAATGAAGGTTGAGGCACAAAAATAATTTAAACTAGGACTTGCAGGTTCTTGGATTCCCCTACTTCACACTTGTACTGAATATTATGGCTGGGCTTTTGATTTATTTTAAACTCAAGTCGTGTTCAGGGCAGACCGATCAAATAAATACAGTTCGAATTCGTTAAACTGCAAACCGTGTTCAGACAGTTCAGACCAAGACAATTGGCTGAAATGTCAGGGCACCGCTGCAAACGCGCCATTTAAAATTCGAACAACTCTCAACAAAACTAATCTTGCATAAAAGTGCGAGACAATCTAGCATATAAGATATGCATACATAAGAGTCATTGCTTAAGACTTATTGCTTGAGATTAACTTTTGCATTATAATTTTTCAGTCGCCCGTAAAATCCAGTGACACTTTTTGCATTTTGCCACCCACCCGCACATATTCATCAAGTGGCTTTTTAAGGTTAAAAATCAGTAAAAAATATAAAATGCTCTTTTCTAATGTAAAATGTCTTTTTATTAATGTGTTAAATTTATGATATTGCGTCAATCGGAAGTCCCATTCCAAAAGTAATTCAAAATGACCTCAAAATTTCCGCTATTGAGTTCTCAATGTAATCTACCAAATAGCATTCTAAATGGAATATGAATACTTCAGCTTCCTCTGCCCACGTCATCTACTGAGACTATTATCTTTCGACAATAGCATTTACAAAAATCAAAAAAGCTTTAGCACTAGAAAATCTGTTAATTCTATTCTAGTACAATCTTTTTTGATGATGTCAGTTCCAATAAGACTTTTTATGCAAAAAGGAAGACAAAAAACGTTTTCCTTTAAGGGTTTTAGTGATCAAGATTGAGGCATCTAATTGGTCTTATTAATTTCATACACGAATCAAATTTTAACGCTTAAAACTTGATAGTATCAGCCTAAAATTCATACTTTTGTCGATATCTCTTTTAGTAAAAATTATTGGAGACCATATAAAGGGCAGTCGGAACAATCAGGGCTTTACCCTGAGACGAGCAGTCTTGTTTGTAGAGCAAAGAATTGCATGGACCAAATATCATGCCTCAATTCAATCTGGAACAATTTCTAAGACGGATAAAATCTCCGCTTACGCCTTAATAGCACAAAATATATCGCTCGCAAATTATCCAAATTGACAGTTTTTGACATTTTTTTTCAAAAATGATCACAGGTGAAATATCTTTTAAAATTTGAGCTCAAGACAACAATACCTTTCCGATAATATCTAAAAAATCTGCCAGAAGTGGCTCGTTAAAAAGCCTAAAATTGTTTGGAGAAAAGAATCATCCCGAGCACAAATAGTCTTTCACTTTCTCCGAGAGTCGGAACAATCAACACAAATTTTTGGATTTTTCTCTCAAAAACATTTCAAAACAGGGAAATTCACGACGGCAGGTGACAGAGCATCCATTACACCCGTCCGGAAATCTTTCGGCTGCGGTTGTATTTTTCAGCGATGTTTAGTTTATTAATCTTAAACTTTGCTTGCTGCTCTTTGGTTCAAAAAACAGACAGAACATACAACAAATTTTTTTGGAAATTTTTCCAACAAATTGCGACTTGCAACTTTTGACGGATTTTGTCAATTCAATCTGAAAGATAGAGAATTTTTAATATCCAAATTTAAAATAAAACAGTTTATGAATAAACTTTATCTCAATTTTCGCTAAGTAATGGGAGTTTCAATATTGCCAACTTTGGAAATTTAATAAGCGCTAAAAACCGGTTTTTTGTTTATCAGTTTTCAATTCCAATTCCAGCAGTCCTTTGCAGGGGCGCCCAAAAAATCCAGTAGTCCTTTAATATTCTGATGTCCACTTTGGGGAAAAATATAATTTCAAAAAACTTCCCCACCCGCTATAAGATGAGTTTGAGTTTTTGAAGTCATTTTCCCGGTGACTATCAAAGTTTTGAAGGTCAAGTTTATTTCTGCCTGCTGGGTAGATGCGTTTTCTACTCGATTAGTTCGTCTAAAATAGCGGTTTTGTAAACTTTCTTTAATTTGCAAAATCTGAACTGCTACCCAAACAGAATTACAAAACTAGCAGATCGCAAATAAATGATTTTCAAACATTGCCAGATTAAAGAATAATTTTTTTTAAAAAAAACTAATTTTACCAGATAAAATTTAAGAAAAATTGATAAATTTAAATTTGGTTTATTTTTACCGACTGCTTTATATTTTTTTCTGCTAATTTTCACCACAGTTCACAGCAAAAACTATTCAGCGAATAAGAACTTACTGATTCTGATTGGTTGAAAGTTTTCCATCATTCGGTCGCTCTATCATGAGAATATCCCCCCACGCAATCGCTCACGTAATTTTAAGATGGGGATTATTATGAACAAGCCGAAAAACTCACAAGCCCAAGCTAAAAACATAGACAACAGATAGTTGCGAAAGTATCAATGAACGCAAATAAACTTTAAAAAAAACTTCACCAGAATATAAATGGCTTTAAGCTCTTTGAATTTTAATAACTAATTTTTCCCACTAGGAAATCTAAAAGCTAAAATCCACGTTCTAATCTTGAAGCCGTTCTCGCTTTTTTGCGCCATTTCCGTTATCTTGAAAAAAAATGGCGAAAATGATGAATTCAAACGATTTTTCGTAATAACGACTAGTGACTAAGCGGTGTCAATTACCGATGTCCAAATCCTTTCGCGCAAGTAGAGGTATTTGAAAATAACATTTGTAGGGGTTAAGTGTGTTTTTATATTGCAGCACTTTCAGCCGCGGTTCGAATTTCGAAAAAGGTCTCTCTACAGAGAGAAAGTCACTGGTCTGGACTTCTCAGCTCTTTAGGTTAATATAGTATGTTTTTTTTCTGCTAATCTACACTGATCACCCCAATCTGATTGTATAATTTTTTGACATTCGCTCAGCCATTATCAATTAATTTCACAAGCTGAATTGTTCAACCCTCCCAAGACCCAAGAAAACAGTTGAAAATATTATATTCTGTGGTACTTGCACAGCAACTGAATATATTTCATAATGGAAATCACCTCTAGCTTCGAGTTGGAGGTATAAGCGAAGTGTGAAGGGAACACTTGATCCTTCATGGCAGATGCTGAGCAGCTGTAGTTAGAAAATGAGTCTGAGGTCGCACTTTTGATGTCCAGTTCAGAATTGAACTCCACTCGTCTGCCTCCTCCCATTAGCTCATCACCTTCATCCTCCAAAACTGACGACTTCACCGACAGATGTCCACTTGCAGTAGTTAATGCTGAATCTAGGCAAGTGGTTTTTGAAAGGTTAGAAAAATAAATCTACGAAAAAACCACATTCCCATAATGGTACCTACTAAACAATTTGATCTCCTATATGAAAAAAGTAATTCAGCGAGATCGTTTTTTGTTTTACATGCAATTTCCCTCTACAAAGGGTACTTTTTAGTGGAAAAGAAAATATATAGTCATATTGAAGAAGCGACCTTTAAATTCTTCATTTTTGAACGTTCCGTGACGAGCATTTGTTATTCCTACCACACATTGGAACTTTGGATACACATTTTCACACAAAGGCGAAAAGCGATTTTGCGCCACTTGCGAAAATCGCAAAAAACATTGTTGACAAAACGCCGAAAGCCTCAAAGTTTGAAAAAAAATGGAAGAAACCGATAAAAAATTATCGCTCTCAAAAATTTCATATCTCAATTTGGCTCGGATGAAATCAATTTTGAGGAACAAAAATGTCGAGAAAGACAAATTCCAGCGTAAAAGTAGCGTAGAAAAGTTTACAAAGCGGTAACATAGCCGACAAAATTGGGGTGGACACTGGTTGAGACGAAAAAAAAAACAAAAACTCATGCTGTAGAAAAAATTGAATTATAATGTATTTTAGAATGCAAATCAATTATGATAATGAAAAATTCGAATACTCTTACAAAGAGATGAAGAAAGCTTCGTACCACTTGCGATACAGCACAAATAGCATTGCTAGCTAGTAGCCAAAAAATTGAAAGAAAATCAATTAAGTCGAAAAACCACAACTATTAAAATTTAAAAATTTGCCTCGAATTAAGTCCAACTTGAGAAAAACACGTCCAACAATACACTCACTGATCTGAACGAAATATTCAAAAAATATCGAGAGGCAACTAGGCCGAAACAATTTGGATAAACTCCAGCCGAAACCAAAACTGTTGTCAATAAAATTTTTGAATATCCTGAAAAAGTACACTTTTACACTCCCCATCTGGAACACACAGAAGGATAACAATCTACTTTTACCTTCATGGCGCAAAATGAGGTCACAAAGCCAATTAACCATTAGCCGAATCATTTGAGGCCAAATAAAGTTTTAGCGAAAAAAAACATAACAAAACAGCAAATAACAAAAAAAAATAACTTTACAAGTTACTAACACATAACAAAAACACTTTCAATGTTTCAATTATATAGAACACTGCTACAGCACGATGCGAATCCGAGATGCGGCAAAAAAGCCGACAAACAAGAAACGACATTTTTTTGAATGCACAGTAATTACTGTTTGGTAAGAATGTTTGAAAAAAGAATGTTTCCTGGTTGATTAAAACAGGCCAAATAGGATTTTTAAACTGGATGAAAAAAAACTCGATGAACCAAAATATTCGTATGACTCGAAATTATTAGTGGCCCAGTCAAAGCTGAAGCTATCTGTTTGATATTTTTGAAATTTGATATACTGATGCGGTATGAAATGGGAAACTAAAAATTGGACTTTGCCCAAAACTTAAGTTGACTGAAAATTTTTGAGAAATTGGAATCTTCCCAAAGACATAACAATTTTCTGACAAAAATTAAGGAGTAGCTGCTTCTGTAGCAACGATAATTCGCAATCGGTTCTTTCGATTGAACCTGTCATCTCAAATTTGATAGAGTAGTTTCTACGAAAAGTCAAAAAGTTTCTAAAAAACGGTCAAAAATTCGAAAATTTGACTTTCCGCAAAAACACATTTTTCTGCAAAAAGGTCAAAACCAATTACGCAGAGAAGTTTCTCAAAACCAGGTTCTTCCATTGAACCCAAAAACTTAACATAAAAATGGCAGGGTAGTTTTCGAAAAGTCAAAAAGCTTCCAAAACGGTCAATAAACCTAAATTTGACTTTTCCGCGAAGCATACCTTCAGCGTAGAAAAATTTTGTTGTAGCAGCTTATGCAAAAGAAAAGAAAATTCAACCTTTAATTTCGATTGAACGCAAGAATTCAAGATTTGGGAGAGTAATTTTTGAGAAAAGTCAAGAAGAATAAAAAAAAAGTCACATGGTCAATTATCTGACAATCACGATTGGCAGAGCTTTCTGAGAAAAAATTTGAGCGCAGCAACTTATGCAGATATGCTTCATGCAAACCATTCAACTCATTGACTCCAAATTTTAAATTTGAAAGAGTAGTTTTTGATAAAAACGAATAACAAAAAACATGAGTCAATAATCCCCCGTTAGAAATTTCGAAAGCTGTAGACAGAGGGTTAAAGTAAAACCAGACTTCAATAGTATGCAGGCACGGAAAGGAGTAAGCGGTCTTCCCATAGATACAATTTTTTTTAAAACGAGTATCTAACGAACTTAAACTTTTGCAAAAAAAAAACATTTCGAAAGCGTCTCAAAAAAAATTAAAAATCCCAAACCCACACATTTTCATTATATCTGATTTTGCCGAACAAAAAAATGTGGGCCTTTTAAACTAACAAAAATGGGCTAAGCAAGCCGATAAAAAATCAGCCGAAACCGTGTAATCAAAACAATCTTTAAAAAAAATCAAAATCAGACTTGGTAAAAAGACAAATTTAAGATTTTTCAATTATACTAGAGAAAATATATTTAAGACCAAAACCAAATCCATGCTTTACAAAGTAGGAAGATAAAATAAAATACCCGATAATATCAATGCCATTTCTAAAAACGGAAAATGAAACGACAGAAACAGGGCCGAAAATCACGATCCCGAAAAAAAAAAACACTTTTTTCAAGATATTTTTCGTTGGAAAAAGCATAATTTCAAGGTATTGAATTGATTGAAAAGTGAATGATCGAAATTTACTCAACTATTTATAACCTAGATAAAATTAATTTAAATTTTCAGAAATTGTGCATGTCTTGAAATTGACCATCCCTACAAAATTGACAAAGTTATTTATGAGGAAAACGTCTAGTAACCGATTGCATTACCCTTGCTTATCACAAGGGTAAAACATAGCCGATCGAAGATTGGAAAAGAGTAATGAACGCAAGTAAACGTTTGTAAAAACACTGATTTTCTTGAAAAAATCTCAACTTTCGAAATTCAAAGAAAAAAAAATAGATGCCCTTTTCTGCTATTTAAAATTTTTTATTACTAGTGCAGCAAGATGCTAGTTGGACGTTTACAATTTTTTGTGTACTTGAACGACAACAAAAACCCAATTTACAAGCAGACAATGTTTTCAGGACAGATATGGCTTTACTTTTGTGACAGATAAACTTTGTTTAACCAAATATCAATAGCAGATTTGGCCAAAGAAAAACTCTATGTTAATGCCCCGATTTTATACTTGAACAGATATATGTAAACATGACCAAATTTCGTCCAATTACGGCTATTGGAAAACTGCATCGACCTTGTCGTAGAAAAATTTGAAAGGGTGGACGATGCACTCAATGCGATTTACGGTAACAACTATCAGGGTGACTCTTTTATTGACCAGTCTAACCATAATTGCAGCTCATACTTCATATCTAAATTGTGCACTTTGTCAAATTTTCTCAACTCAGACTCTTCTGCCCATTGAGGAACACAGTTAAGGAAATAATAATACAAGGTCCAATAAATTCAAGGAAACTGAAAACTGACACTTCATGTACTTTTTACAAAACAAGTTACTGATGACTCTTTGGTTAAACAGCCCATTTTAGACCGGTGAAGTGAATGTAAAAAATGAAAGAGGTTTTTGAAGCTGAACTTGACAGCAATTTTTCCTCCCTGTCCACTATGCGATTGAAGAACGAACTTATTCATTAAACCAGAATAAAAATAATTACCAAACAAATGATTCGAATAAGAAACAATTACAAAAAAAACGTTTCTTCTATTTCTCATGAGGCCTTTATGTTTAGTCGCATTAAATTACATTAGTAACATATCATTAAAATAATTAGTAAATTATCTGGACAAAACGATAAAACTTGAAATTTAAGACGCTTTTTTTAATCAAATTGGCTGACATTAGACAAAAATGACGAAGAAAAAACCTACTCAGACTTTTAGCAGAACTAGTATGAGGCAGTTTTGGGAAATTCGGGGGTTAAAATGTTACCCAAAACGGATCAGTTTTGATTTTTTTAGTCAATCCAAAATTACGCCAAAACAATCCAAAATTATTCCAATCCAAAATAGCCAAAAGATATTATACAAAACACCAATCTTTTATTTTAAAATTTTATTAGCCGTTTTGCGCACATTTTGATCAAAACGCGTTTGAAATTTCAAGTTTCATTCTTTTGTCCGGTTAATTTTATTCAGTCGTGTATTATCTAAGCTTCTGTGTAGCAGGAAATTCAAACCTTATCTTTTTACCTTCGACAAATGTTACTTGATAAATGGAATTTAGGATAACAATGCGTCTACCCATCCACCACAACCCACCCTCCCCATTTTTTACCAAACTTGAACCTTGACTGTTTTTTAGACGACCAGGCGATCTTCACTTCTCTTAGTGCCTTATGCTCCAATATATTACAAATTTGCAATCCAGTTTTCTTATGATTACCTTCGACCGTGGATTTTGATAAGTTTACCTTGTATAGATTTTTTACAATTCCCTTAAGCATTTCAAGCAATATACACATTGGAGATAATTTTTTCTTTTCTCTTTTCATTATAAAATAATCCCTGAAACAGACAATTCTTCTTTTTGTTTATATTACAAATCATTTAATTTACCATTGTAAAAACCGCCACCAATTAAGATTTTCAGTATTTTTATAAAAAAAGCTGGCAACAAAACAGGAAAATAAGTATATTTTTTTCTACAGCCCCTTAAGCCCTCCTATATAATCTGCTGGGCTATGAAACAACTACTCGTTCAGCAAAAGAATCAAAACAAAATTACACAAAAAATTAACCTTTAATTGAAAGAAAAAAACAGACCGTTAATACAAAAAGAGTATCCCTTAAAGACTCCCTTTTTGAGAAAATTCTTATTTGTTAAATCTAAACATGTCTGCCTTTTATTTATACTTTTTAGTATTGTTCAACAAAAAAATAATTGAACCTTAACTGAAGATAGTTGTTTCAATAACCGTGGTCGACATTCCTGAGAGGCGAGCAATCATCTTAGAAGGTATTGCAAACGGTAATCATAGACCAAAAACAGTTGGATCAATGAACACTATTTCAATTGTCTTACAAAGCTTGAGGATCAGTGAACACTAATTTGTTTTTCAAGTCTTTTCATATGTCTTTCAAGGTGTTTCATATATCAATTTCTCACAAGGCGAAGCGGAACTTCAAACCACTTAGGATAAAATTTTAAAAAATAAATCGAAAAAAATGAAAAATGTTGAGAAAAAACTAGGTGAACCAACATTTTCGGATTTCTCGATAAAAGCACACTATGGGCCCATCTAAAGCTGGCGGTACTGGTTGGATAATTTTTGAATTTGTTTTACTGATGCGCGATGAAATGGATAATTTCAAAATTTGAACTTTGCCCAAAACCCTAATTGTTTCTCTACTAAAATAAGTTTAGATTGAACCCAAAAAACCCGTGGTTGGAAAATTGTATTCGAGAAGTCGAAAAGTTTTTTTAAAAAAAACGATAAAGTCGAAGGCCATAACCATAACTTTTCGTTGAAAAAATTGGCATGTAGCCGCTGATGCAGCGGACCTTTTCACGACGCATACTCTCTATTGAATACAAAACCTCAGATTTGAGAGGGTAGCTTTTGTTGAAAAAAGACGGAATTTGAAGAAACAATCAAAAACTTAACTTTTCCGAGGATCATAACTCTTTGCCCAAAAAAAAGAAACTGAAAAAGATTTGATAAGATATCACTCAATTTCTTAAGACTGTTCTTTGTGATAAACAGTTTTGCATTAAACAATCAACTACGAGGCTATATATCACTTTCTGTTGTACTGAGGGCTAGCTCAGAGCAGGGTTCAACGGGATAAGATGATAACCAAGCTCTAATTACTTTTAAAACTTTTGTTCATTATGGAAAACCAAGCGAGGATTAAGCTAATACACACATCTTTAAGATGCCATCATTAACTTCTAAAACGTGAATTAGAACGCTTAGATTCGTTCCCCACAGTAGTGGGTCTTTGTGAAACATGGTTACATGAAGACGACCCTTTAGATTTATAAAACCTACTGATGAATACCACAAAATCTTTACAGGTAACAGGCGAGGAAAACAAGGCGGGCTCAGTGCGTCATTTGTGATTGAAGGCAGCCACGTAGATAGACACACAATCGAAGGTGATATTGCAACCGTGGTTATTTATTTGAGCGACAAAAAGATCAACATTTAATCTGCATTTTGTACCGCCCTACATCACTTCTAATTGATTATTGCTAACGAGGAAAAAAACATCCTCTTCTGCGGGAACATTAAGGTTGATATTCCTGATCAGCATTCAAAATCAGCGATCGATTATTCAAAGATCTTGCCATCTTTTGGACTCGGTTCCAAACTCAATCCTAACCATACCTGCAAGTATTACCTCATCAAGCGTTGATCACAATTTTCATAAACTTTTTGAGATAGTGGCAACAGTTCAGTTTAAATCACGTGCTCACTATGCAATGAAAAAAGACTTTGATATTGAGTCATTTAAGAAAAAAAACTGAAAACATTACTAAACGAAAGTTTTTGATTGTTTTAAATGCGACAACATTGATTGCAAGCTCTCATATCTATTAAATCGTACATTATCCAATCAAAAAAAAATCTCTTTTAAATCAATGATGAACTCCATTCTCGAGGTTTTTGATAAAAAAAAAAGCCACATGGAAAAAATTAACATCAAAAAAAGAAAGTCATGGATGAATTGTAACAAAAGCCTTTGCAACGAACGCGAGAGACTAGTAAAAGATATATTTAAAACCATCAAAAAAATTTATTGCAGTATAAAAATTCAAGAGCCCAAATTGTCCGATTTATCAGAGCAAAATGACAAAAACACATGCCTATTTGCATTTCTCTGCTTTTAATGAATTTTGCCATCACTAATTTTGCAATAGAAATTAAAGAATCATGAACGAATACTGAGAAATATTAAATTTCTTAACCACAAATCATCTAGTGGCCATGATGGCATAAGTAATAAGATGAATAAATTATGTGCCGAGCTAAAAAAAAAACAATCCAGTAGCTGATTTGTTTAATCAAATGTTTGACTCTGGAAAAACTCCCGATGTGTGCAAAATATCCAAAGCTTTACCTTTTCAGGTTTTCTCACGAGGACCCAAAAAACTTCAGACCAATAAAACTGCTTTCATCATAAAGCAAAAACTATCGAAAAGATGCTTTTCAATAGTTGTTTTTTGAAATCTGTTAATAAACTTAAGACATGCAGCACAACCAATTGTATTCAGGAAAAATCAATTATATAACCACGCTATCATTACAGAAATTATTCGATCATGCAAACACTCGAAAAACAAAGAAATGACTTGTTTTATGGATTTCCTAAAAAATTATTTGACATCATTGATCATACAATTCTGATGAAAAGCTAGAATACTATGGCTTTCGTGGCCAATGCTACAGTCTAAAACAATCATATTTAACTAATCGTTTTCAATACGTATCTTTAAATGAATAAAGTCGAATATGCTACAGATGAAATCCGAAGTTCAACAGGGCTCTAAACTTGGACCGCTCCTAATTCTACAATACATAAAACACTTTCTATACATTCAGAAAAAAAACTACATTCAAAAACCGGAATCCCAACTTTCCATAATTTCAAAATTCAAAAAAACTATGAGATCAATTGCGTCAAAATTATTGATCAGTTGTCTATGAATTCTGTAACAAAGGAGATGCACGAAGTCTCGTGAATCAAAAATTCATAATTTACAACTAGTAAGAACAAATCGGCTGCACAGGTCAATCAGCCAGAAGATAAAAAATTTTACAAGAATTTATGCTCAAACAAACTTCTACTAGACAATTTGAAACAATTGAAGATAAACGAAACTAATAAGTACAGATACAAACTAAGAACTGGCACCTTATAGATAATTCGGATTAAGATGGAATCATTTTTCCACACAGAGGCGAAGTTGAACTTCTCATGCACAAGCAAAAATATGACCAATAACGCTACTGGGAAAAACTGAGTGAGCAACTTTGTGTCTACAAAATTTCTTATATGACGCACGCCAATTATAGGTCTACGTCTACATAAATGCTAAGTGACGGAAGCAAATTAAGACGCATTAGCAGTACCAGTCAATTTGAAAAAAAAAAACAAAAAAATTACCGTCTAAAATGCCTCAATTTATAGAGCCGACGCCTTTTAACTAGTATACGAAAGAATTCATTAAAAACATCTGACCCTCCCCAGGTTCGAACCCTCTTGTTTTGTTGCGGCTCTCCTTCCCTACCTCTACGCTACAGATCTTTGATACCGTGAAACTAAAGTGCTATTTGTAATATAATAGTTGGCATTGGCTCTACTTAATAGGTAATTATCGATAAAAAGAACAATTTCAAAATGAACACTTTTTGTCGCAACAATATTTGCATCGCAACAATATTTGCGACTTAGGTTGAAAAAAAAGAAAATTCGAAGTATAACACAACCTTTGCTTGTGTAATAAATGTTAGTACCTTGATCATCGTGTTTTTCGTTTTCCAAGTTCGCGCCTCGATGAACCTCAGGGCTCGTGTGCGATCCTAGAGTGTTATATGCTTTATACGTTAAATTTTCTCACTAAATACTGTAAATTCAGATTGACAATACAGTCAGCAAAATGAATGAATGCAAAACATACGACGACTCACCAGTTTGCCTACTATTTGTACCAGTAGAAGAGTCTCCGACCACTTTGCCCAACTCTAGTCCAGGTGCTCGCTCTTTTGGAACCGGCTGTCGCTTCAGATCCCTCGACTTCTGCAGAAGCATTTTCTGTAACTCGCTCATACTTGGATCTATACATAGATCTCGCTCTCTAGCCAAAAAAACTCGCGACTCACTCTCATTCTCAGTAATCGCTGTTTTCTTAGCTTCATTCTTGACCACAACTATAACACGTGCATCTGCAGGTTTCTTGACTATCTTTTCTGCGCGATCTTCAGCATGACTGTTCAACAAATTCTGTTTACATTCAGTTGTAACTGACTCTATAGAGTTAAGATCAGGTTTAGAAACCTTATTTTCTTTAGCTTCGTCAGACACTTGTCCCTGAGGAGTATCCTTTTTACTCTTCTCTTCGCTTTGATAACATTCTTCAGCAGATTCGAAATCTTGATCGGAATCCGAGTCTGTACGCTTTTTGCCATGACTATTCTGCAGTTGTGTGATCATGCTTGAGACATAACTGGACACTTGTGGCCTATAACAACGCATCGCAAACTTATAACGGAAAAGATAGGTTTTTTAGGGTTCTCGCTTCTCTCGTAAAGACTCTTTTTAGAAAAAAAAATAGTACAAAGAACCAGATATATTAAATAAATCTCTGCAAAAATTAATGGCGCTTTCTCATTATACCCTTTCCAAAATATTGCAGAACCCCAAAAAATTACAGTACAAAAATGACTTAAGGGAATGCATTTTAAGGTTAAACGTTACACGAGGAGCTCAAATGGCAAAGAGCGAAAATGATTTCCATTATCCAATTATCCAACAGGGCAAAAGATGTATTATGAAGATGCTACATATGCTAATAAACTGCTAATGCGATGCAAAAATGGCACAAATAGACAACTAGAAAAAATTACCGCCGTTGTTTTTTATAGAAATGACATATGCATTGTGGAGAGGCAAGATTCAAAAATTAACACGAAAGCGAAACTAACGAAAAACAATTGAATACAAACAGTTCTGTGAGCAAAGGGAGCTCTTCTTTCAGCTAGTCAGTTAACTGTTTTTCAAATTGCTTAAAAAAACTTAGGAACGTTAAGTTATTTCATAGCTCGAATCAGTTTGATAAAAATTGTTTTTTTTTCTAAGCATGAAAGTAGCTGTTTTTAATCGATTCATTTCAGACTGAAATGAACCTGTAATCGCGAAAATTGGACAAAAAATGGGCAACTGATGTCTAGCCTTGAAGTTGAATCGAGTTCATCTGGCATAAAAAGTTTCGGACTTTTTCCGAAAAGACTTATGGAATTGACCAGATTTGAGAGTGATTAAAATTCTAGAGAGCTCTTGACTAAATGTCTCTTAAACATTGGGCTGGATGGTTGCTCTGAAGGATTCCTAAATGCGTTCTGAGCAGAATGCATTCTGATCTAACCCTTCTTAAACGTTGTGCTCGACTAGACAGAAAAAAATAAAACGTTGCGTCCATAGCGCATTAAGACTTTCATTTAAAATATAAGATAAGATTTTGCATGTAATAATGAAGGTAGCCATACTAATTTTGCATGAAAAGAATTGGAAAGCATAAAGCCACCATATGTATAAATTCTGCATTTCCAAAAAATTTCCAGATATATTGAACTAGCGCATGACTCGCACGCATGGCGCTTCAAATTTAGAGGGCAGATTACGAGGGCAGATTTAGAGAACGCCACATCTCGGAGACCAAAAGGATTTGAGCAGTCACATTTAGAGGGCAGATTTAGAGAACGCCACATCTCGGAGACCAAAAGGATTTGAGCAGTCACATTTGGAGGGAAGAGCTTCAAACCCTGAGTGTACCCTGACTGCACCCCACCATAGGCTTGAGAATTTCAAGTTACATTAACTTTTTTTTATTTCTAAGCTTTTTGAAAAACAATAAATTCAAAAAATCATAAAAAACGCCATACTCGAAAACCAAAACGATTTGAGCAGTCACACTTCAAGGCCAGATTTGCAGCCCCTGAGTGTACCCTGATAGCACCCACTAAAGGCTTGAGAAATTCAAGTTCGGTTGGTTTTTTTAATATCTAAGTTTTTTGAAAAAAAAAATTGAAAAATCATTAAAAAAGCCATATCTCGAAAAAGGAAAAGATTTGAGCAGTCATACTTGGACACCAGATATTTAACTGCTGAATGCACCTTGACATTGCATCACTGCAGGGTTGAGAATTGCAAATTTTTTTATATTTAAGTTTTTAGATAAAAAAAGAAAAATTCATAAAGAACGCCATATATCGAAAACCAAAAAGATTTGAGCCGTCATGATTGAACGTCATATTTGCAAAACTTGAAAATACCCTGATAGCACCCCACTATAGGGTTGAGAAATTCAAGTTCGATTAATTTTTTATAATTAAGTTCTTTAAAAAAATTATTAATAAAAAAAGGAAAAAATCATAGAAAACTCTATATCTCGAAAAGCAAAAAAATTTGAGCTGCCAAACTTGGACGCTAGATTTGCAAACCCTGAGCGAAGCCTGATAGGACCACACTATAGGGTTGAGAAATTCAGGTTCAGTTAGTTTTTTTTGTCTAAATTTTTTGAGAAAAAAAATGAAAATATCATAAAAAACGCCATATCTCGAAAACCATAAGAATTTGATCAGTCTTATTTAGACGCCAGATTTGCAACCCCTGAGTGAATCTTGACAGTTGCCCACTAAAGGGTTGAGAACTTCACGTTCGGTTAGTTTTTTAATAACTTTAATTTTTTTATAAAAGTTTTTAAAAAAATTGAAAAATCATAAAAAACGCCATATCTCGAAAATCGAAAAGATTTGAGCAGTCATACTCTGACACCAAATTTTTAACCGCAGATTTTACCTTGACAATACATCACTACAAGATTGAGAAGTGCAAGTTTGGTTAGTTTTTTTTATATCTGTTTTTTGAATGAAAAATTCATAAAGAACCCCTTATCTTGAAAACCAAGAATTTGAGCCGTCATACTTGGTCGCCATAGTTGCAACCCTTGAATGAACCCTGATATCACCCCACTATAGGGTTAAGAAAATCAAGTTCGGTTAGCTTTTTTATATCTGTTTTTTGAAAAAAAACGAAAAAATCATAAAAACTCCATATCTCAAAAAGCAAAACGATTTGAGCTGTCAACCTTGGACGCTAGATTTGCAACCCTTGAAAAGACCCTGATAGCACCCCACTACAGGATTGAAAAATTCAATCTCGAATAATTTTTTTTATCTAAGTTTATCTAAAAATTCATAAAGAACGCTGTATCTCGAAAACCATAAGGATTTGAGCAGTCAAACTTGGATGCTAGATTTGCAGTCCTTGAGTGTACCCTGATAGCACCCCACTATAGGGTTGAGAAACTCAAAATTAATTAAGTAAATTGTGAAACAAAAACTTTGATAGTTTTACGTTGCGAATAAAGGAAAAAATTTAGGTGTTAAAGCATTGGAGCAACAACACATTTTGAAACGCTGACTAGAGCAACTTTTTTAACCCTTGCAATGTTTTGGCCTTTTACCAGACCAGCATCGGGATTTCTTAAACATGTGCCAAATGAAATTTTTTAAGCGTTTTACTATACTATATAGCTCAAACATGCAAAAACACTATCGTTGAACATGCAAAAAATAATTCGTTGAAAAGTTTAAACATGCAAACATAGAGTTCTCTTAAACATGTGAACGTGAACATAGACACTTCTTAAACATGTGTCACATGAAACGCCAATTACATAATAGATAGATCGCTTAGAAATTTCTGAAATGCAGCTTCATTTGATGAAATAAAAATGCATCAACTGTGTTCACTTATTACTAATCGAATGTCAAAGCACATGCCATCAAAAAAAGTCGTTAAATTGCCACCAAAAGTGTCACCAATATGTGCCACTTAAGTTCGAAAAAAAGATTAGTCGTACTATGACACTAATCTCACTTAATTTTGCCCAGTGTGAACACAAGTCACTGACTGACAGCTTTATTTTTTAGTAAGTAATTGACGACATACAATATTTATGAAAATGACCAACACAGCATAGACATTATCACTACAAAAACTGGCTATTATACCGTTTCACCCCACCTGCGATTTTTTTGTTTGGAACTTTTGTTCACTTTGACCAAATGTCATGGAATTGGCATGTAAGTTAATTAACCATTTGAAAGGAAGGATAGGTAACGAGACCAGATAATCACTTCAAATCTATCTTGACAGTTCCTTCTCATTTTATAATTACATTTTATTATCGCTTCATCTGCTATAGGGCGGAGTTCCATTAGACTTAAAATATGCCTGACGTCTATCCCACCCCCTACCATTATCATGGTTATAAAACAATACAATCAAAATGAACCAAAATTACGGAATCATGAAGAATCAAACTATCTCTTTCTCTTTCAACAAATTCTCTATTTCCAATAATTTTCAATATAGTAAAAAATCATAAGAAGTGGCGTTGAAATGACTGGATTATCTATCTCAATCGTGATTTAGTTGATTCGATGGCTTACATGATCATGTTTGTGAATGTAGAGCCGTTTCCCAAATCCAAAAACAATGACCAAAATGTAAACAGATTTGCAGTAAACAGAGCAGCTCAAAATTTGGTCTTTTCTATCGCGTAGAGCCTAGAACACTTACCACGATGCGATGATAAATAACCAAACCAAAAAAGAGAACATCTTACTTTTTCGGCGTTGTGGCTTTATGGCTGCTTTTTTGTGGCTTGTTTTCTGTCTTCATTTGAATATCTAATTTAATTTCTTCGGGAAAATTCGGTTTCTCTGTAGAATGTTTAGCTGGGCTGTCTTTTGACTCTGTGGCGACGTTATCATTATTTCTCTGCAGAGTGCAACTCTTTGGCCTAATGGGGTCGTCCACATTTTCGAAACTGGACAGAAGGTTCTGCATCCGCGCACTTGATCCTAGTTTAGGTCTCTTAGATGGTGTTTCAATCCGATCGCCCGCTGACACCAGGTGGAAATACGCAAGCTAGAAAAAAAATAAAACTCAATAAAACTACGAATAATCGCACCTTAACATAGCTCGCTTCTAATGCAATAATGTCGACCTTTCGAATCTAACATTATCACTTTTTAATCTTTTGAAAAATTAGCCGTGAAAAACTAAGAAGCTTTTTTGCAGGACAGCAAAGGAAGTGAAGTAGTTTTATGATACTAGAACTTCAAATTATAAGATTTTGATCTCCTATATTTGCATTCAACTTGCAATTACTAATTAGAGAAATTTGTCAATATTAAAATCGATAATCCGGATTGACTGATCAGAAGAGGGAAGTTCAGTTTATCTCAAGAAGACCGGTAATTATATCTGGACAGAAAAAAAAACAAGAGACAACATTTTGAAAAAGCAGGCTGTTTAAATAAATTTCTGTACTAGCGTATATCATTTAAACAACCGAGGGGTCAGAAGACAAAAGCCTGTTAGCGGTCAACAAGTTATGCGGCCGCCAGTGAATTTTAATAATGCGTTTTAAAATGGTTAATAGCAACAATGCGAGAAATAAACATTGGTTTTCAGAGATAATAATTCCAGAAAACTGAAGCAACACTCAGGTTGACAGTGGCAAAATAATAAAGATAGGAAAAAAGATAAGAGATAAATTTCATTTATTTTGTGTATGAGACAACTTTGAGCACGAACACCAGTTTTGCTCACAAAGAAGAACCGAATAAAGGCATAATTACGCAACTGCTGCAGATGAACTAGTTAGTTTTCGGGGATGTCCCACTATGTAACCCGGCCCTTCAAAGGTGTCCCTGCTTTACCTATGTTCACCAAACATCCAAGATTTGCCTACCGCAGAAACAATTCATTCTGTTTTCATGGGAAACTAATCGAATTGGTTTTCAGAAAAAAATCAACTGAAATAAAACTTGCAACGATTTGGCAGTTAATTGGTTTGCGCACTTAGCGAATCGAATCGCACAAAAGAAAAATAAGCTTTTGAACGTTTTTTAGACCGAAATGAAAAAAAAAACTTAGCTAATAAAATCATTACGTCGAAAAAAAATTGAAGCACAAATTGCGGGAAAAAATATTAAGAATTGTAATCACGAATGTCAAATAAACTTCAGAAAAATTTAGCGGCCGCCAAATTAAGCCCATGATACTTGGGTGAGGAAAATACGCGCATTCAGTCGAAAAGAAAATTGTTTTGAAACGCTTCAACCCTCACACACAAAATATTTATTGTTCCCTTCTATAAAAAAGCTGCGAAAATAAAGCCGACAATTTTTGAACAGACACCAGTTGATCCAAAAAATTACTATTTTGTAAAAAAAAAAGTCCGAGTCCCCCCTGAAACTACAAGGTATAAAACTTGCAACTATGATGAAAACTGCTTACAGCGCAAGTAAAATCCGTGATTGGGCAACTAAGCCGACAAAACTTGAGCAGACAAACAATACCACATAAAAAACTATACGCAAAACTTTCGTATGTTTGTCTTAAATTCAAACTTATTTTAATGAAAATCTGAGGTGGAACACAACAGCCTGCATTTAACAAGTTTGTATGCGGACAAAACCGGGATAAATGATGCAGACGAAACCGGGAAAAATCCAAACGTGAAAACCAAGTAGAAAATGTAATTTGAACTGATTAGCAACAACAAATATCGGACATAACGAGTAATTAAGACAAAAAATTGTCCAAAGCAAAAATGCTGGCATAAAAACTGACGTCTATTTCATTTTTTTGTTCGACATCAGAAAGTTTTGGTAGGGATAAAACTGAAAAAATTCAATTACATTAATTTGCTTACACTTGAATTGCAAATGAAAAAAATACTATACAAAACGAGATGAAAATATTAAGTTACCTAGAAACAAATAGCGAAAATAAACAAAATTTGTTATTATAAAATAAAAAATCTACGAGCAAAATTGTAGCATAAAAAATTTCAAGGTTGTTTTTGAACTGATATCACTTAAAGACTTCTAACACCTAGTCTCTTGCTTAGAGAACTTATCGTTCTTCAAAATACAAAGACTAGAAATCACTTGAAGCAAAAAAATCAATTGACGTAAAAACGTAGTGAAAATCATACCAAGAAAATTGCAAAAAAAACTCTTGTCTGCAATTACCATCACCAAAAAAAGCATATTAAGAACAGCAGGCCGCTCTAGAAGTATTAAGGAAAATATCTCAACAAAGCATTAATGAAAAGAGAACAAAATCGACAAAACGTTCAAAAATATTCTAGAAAAAAATTCCCAAGGTCGGAGAGGCGACTATAAAATTTCTAGCATACCTTGTCAAAATCAGAAAAAGATTCAAAAACTTTTTAAATAAAATTTGGTTAACAAATTTGGCTAGACAAAACTCAATTTGATACCTATAAAGGTGAAAATCATACAGACAAATCTTGCATCTACCATCTAAAAGCAAACTCTTGCCCTATATAGGCAAAACACTTAAGATGTATATTCGCAAACTTGCCATTTTGAACTTGCTTTCAAATGTATCACTCTGTAAACAAAGTTATTTAGGGGAAAAGAAGTCAGGCAATCGGTTGCACTACCCTTGCTTATCGCACGGGTATTTAGATACATATTGAAAAAAAAAACAATTTCCGGCCGGGACTAGAACCTCAGACCTTAGGTTGCAGAGTCAGCCACGTTACCTCTAAGCTAAGTGGGAACAAACATAGTAGCTGTTAAGGGTAACAAAAAGCAAGTGGGCAGAGCAAGCAGGATATTCTTTACAGATATTTTTCAGAGAAATTTGTTTACGGGAACGAGAAGTTTATTTCCCGCTTACAATAAAATTGCTCTCGCAAGTATAAACAGACTTTTAATTACATTAAATTTGGTTTAAACCGGAAAAAAGACCATTCTAAGGAGAGTAAGCTGACAAAAATAAGCAGACAAACGATAGTCCGATAATTCGTTCTCCAAGTAAACAGTTGCAATTTTTGAACATATTAAAAAAAACTACCATTGAACCCCGAATCTTAAGCTCCCAAGGCAAGTGCTTTACCACCAAACCAACTGGCAAGTAGTCTGGAAGTTCTTGAAGTTTTATAATAAATCAAGCTGAATTTCTTAGATTTAGAAGAAAAGTTGTTTAATGGGAAATTAACTAGATCCCGATGTTAAGCACACTTGCTCTCGCATCTGAAATTAATTACTCATTTTTGTTAACATGGCCACTTTGAAAAAAAAAACCAGACGATTTTTTCAAAATGAAAAAACTAAAAATCACTTAAGTCATAGTATTTGAACTTGAAACCCTTATTTACATATGCATTTGCGCGAATTTGTCCTAACATAATTTTAGAGCAAAATCGTCTCAGTACTGGCTTGAATAGTGACACAGAGGCGAAGCTTTACTTTGCAAGCAAAAGCGAGAAAACGGCAAAAAGCTGCAAAGGTAAAAAAAAAGAAAGCAAAAAAGGAAACAAAAAGTTAAAATCAGTCTTAAAAATGCTGCTTAGTCAAACACTAGCCACCAAAAAAGCAGATGCTATCTAACCGCAAATTCTATGCAGCAGTAAAGCCACCAAATGAAAAATTTTACTTGCCAGTTGTGTCAGAAGAAAGCATTTCGTAATATAACACTACTTGCCTCTGCTAACGATACATAAACTGTATTCAAAATTATTATCAATATGTGCCAAAACATTGCCAATCGAAGATTGGAAAAGAGTAGTGAACGCAAGTAAACATAAAAAACTCACTGACTTTGTTGAAAAAATCTCAATTTTTGAATTTCAAAGAAGCAAATGGATGACCTTTAAGCTCTTTGAATTTTCAGAACATTTTATGCTTGGCGCTTTTTTTTGATAAAATTAACCCAACTAGAGAAAAATGGATCAACAGGTGAAGTTTTTATTCCGCTGGAAATCTAAAAATTAAATTCCACTTTCGAAACTAGAAATCACGCTTTTTTCGCGCCATTTCCACGTTCCTATATGGAGAGTGCTGAAAAAACAAAAAAATTAGCAAGACCTATATAAGAAACTTCACTACGTCCATTACTCTTAAACATAGAAATCCATTTTCGAATTTAAAAATCATTGAGAATATTTTTGAACGTAAAGCCATTCACGTATTTTGCTGTTTTGTTAAGAAGTCGTAATTAGCCTTCCTTAAGCGACTGAATTTGAATAGAACTCAAAAAGATACAACAAAACAAACTTGAGCACAAGAATGCTGAAGACTTTCCTGAAAAAACACTCGGGACCTAAACAGGTATCTTCACATCGTTCATTGATGCTCACACATGATCTGAAGATAAAGGCTACGGATTTTGCGCGGAAACCTTTGAAAACAAAACTTACAGCTGCTGTTGGTCTTGGACTTTCCTCATTTTGCCCACTTGCTGCTTCTCTTTGTATAACGTCAGTTCTACTACTTCCCGAATTCGCCGCAGATTCCTCATTCGTGGTTTTATTGTTCAAGTTTTTCAAAAATTTCTGCACATCAAACCCTGGATGTTCTACTTCAGCCGAGGACGAAAACAAGGACTTCTTCACATCTTGCGCTCGGTTCTTTGGAGTCTCAACCTGATTCGTCAAACTTGATGTAGCTTCGATCTCATTGGCTGATTCTACATCTGAACTGTCGTCTTCTCCCTCTTCTGATTTCAGAAGGTTACTTATAACCATACTTGCTTCCATGTAGCTTTCATTCAGTCTAGCTGCTTGGGCTGCTCGCATTTTCTTCACACGCTTAGCTTGCGCTTTTTCAAAATCATACTTAAGCTCTTCCTTGTCTGCACTTTCTGGTTCCGAATCCGAATCATGAGGTCTAGGACTTCCGCTGGCGAATATATCCAGAAGTTTAGCTACCTTGGGTCCAGGAGACTTTATGAACTGTCCGGTTGGTTTGCCTGGTGATTTAGAAACCTGAGCACCTTTGACGAGATTTTCTTTGCCATCTATCTCCATGATTCTCAAAAACAAATCTGAAAAAAAAACTCAATATTGCTTTTCGCATACAAAAAAAAACTAATCGCTCAAAGCAACTTCGATACAACTACTGATAAATCCGAGAAAAAATATTTCACTATTAAAAACCAAAGCTGGGCTTTCGGTTTTGAAGTAACGCTTAATCTATTATTAGCGCATCTCGAAAGCAAACAAAAAACAGAAGGCAGCAAAGAATCTAGCTGATATAGCTGATATACAAAAAGCCCCATACAAAATAGTCCGAAACATCAAAAAAAAAGGTTCTAAAACACAATCCCATACAAAAAAAAATCCAAAACCATTTGAATTTTTTGGCTTTGATCTTTTGCCGCCGACAGAATTGATCTACACTTTGAAAAATCAAACATGAGCGTTTAAAGATCAAAGAGCCAAAAATCGAACAATAATTCAGATCAAAATCAAAGGCCTCATGGTATAGCGGTTAAGGCGTTAGATCAAAGCATCGAATCCCCGGCGGCACAAAAATCTTTCCCATTTTCCGAAAAAAAAGTTGTAACTCGGGTAAATATGATAACAGGTTTATCTAGGGTACAGACAAGGGTTCAACCTTAGAGGGTTGGGCGGGGAAAAGAAAAATCAACAACTTGTATGTAGACATTAGTTTGCCGGTTTCCAATCGACTTGCTCAATTTTGAAAAATCAAGAAACTTGGAAACAATTTATTGGAATAAGAACTTGGAATAAATGAGAAAATGGAAAACAAAAGAAACTTCTGATTATAACTTAATATTATAACCCAACACAGAACCAATTCTCTGAGAAATCTTAGTAGGTTTAACCCCGGTAGCGTGGCGAACACAATAACCTTATTTTCATCTTAGGGATCAGAATCGCGAAGAAGGAACTGCTCTATATCGTGAGTTTTCTGTAGAGCTAGTGGTGGTTCAAAGCCAGTCAGCAAAGTTGGCTCTGCCATCTTTGGTCTTTCTTCGCGTCGAAATCTATTTACAGCTTGTTGATTAGCAGAATAACTTGGTAAATGAACAGCTGCTTCTCGGTTCACATCACGTAAGGCTGCGAAAAGAGTCTGCCGCGGTGATACATCAGATACTGCTGCTCGATCTTTAAGTGTTTTTCTGAACTTATGTCACCTGGATCTGGGACATTATCTCAACGGAGTCCTTTTGTACGCACACGGCCATTGTAACTTATTTGTGCGCAGCGCCAGGAAAGGGAGTTGTCTGACAGTGTTCGGTGTTTAATATAAGCTTACCCTTCAAAAATCAGTAACTCAGTATTTTTATTAGTAAGTATGATTTCCTATTTGAACAACCTGTCTCTTTTTGCATGGATTAAAAAAAGTCCCTTTATGTCTGGTATATTATTGCTTTTGATGAGTGGTCGCTACTGTTATCTAGATTTTTCTAACTTTTCTGCTAAACTACCTATTGTTATCCGGATTAGTTGGAATCAAAATGTGCTTTATCCGAGATAAATTTTCTTACCAGCTTCTGGAACAGGTTTCACTTCGATCAATGGGACTGTTTTTGGACTATTTTTGGGACTGCTTTATATGGGACAGCTTTTTTTTGTATTTTGCTGTGATTTTTCGGACTGTTTTGTGTGGGACTGTTATGTACAGACACGCTTTTATATAATATGTTTCTAACCTAAAGTGAATATTCCTGCTCGATTTTGAAGTTTTTAGTTTGCTACCGATTCCACAAATTCATGAACAATTATTGAAATTCATGAACACACACTTACATGAACTATTATGTTATATTGAAAGTTATCGCGAGTTTGTGTATTAACATTTAAATGTTCTGGTCTAGGTAGTTCGTCCATGCCCAATTTCATTAAAATCGGCCAAGGTGACCAAAAAATTTTCTAGTAACTTTTCACATGCGTGGGAAGTAACGAACAAAATTTTTTAAAAAAGGATCGACGTCGTAAAATAATAACCAACCCTTTCGTTTGAATTCCATGAGATTAGAGAAAAAAAAATTGTTACGCAAAAAAGCTAGCGTGTTAAAAAAAACGGCATTTTCCCTTGAATCAACAGCCAGTTTCACAGATTCTGAAATAAAAGGCCTGGGAGTAAAAATGCCAGAAAAGCCCACTTCACAAAATAAGTTTTCACAACACCGATAGTAGAAAAAAATGTCAACCATTTTTAGTGTGTCAGAAAAGATGGTTAAATACATTTGGTCGGGAAAATACATTTGGTCAGAAAAGCTGGGAAAATACAACTTAATTCTGTTTAGAGGTCCATTATGAATTGCGTCCATCTGATCTAATTATAAACTTATTTTTGGTTCGTCTCATCTGTTCGATTACTAGATTACCAATTGACGTAAAATTTCAGACTTTTTTGGATTAGAAGGGAAAATAATCTCATTAGAAGGATATCTTATCTGGGTACCGGTAATAAGGCCTACATGAAAATTAATCAAGGACGTATTTATGACCTCAACGTGTCAGATTTTTAATCTTCGAACCTATGCTCCCTCGCCAAGAATCTTTGATAGTCCCTGTTCGCAATTATAATAACAAAATATAACAAAAATCATGTCACAATGAAGAAGAAGAATTTATTTCTCATTGTTAATGGTAAATTTGCATATAAAGAGAATTTAAATATGAAGCACCAAAAACAGTGAGGGGACAGTTAACGAACCGAATTTGGTTACACAGCACTGCCCGTTTTATCAAATGAAAGACAAATTTGTGATCTTCAAAGACAAAAATATAAATCTGAAAACATAAAAGAAGATATTGGAAAAAAAAACTCAAGTTTGAATAAACATAAAGCAGCAGATTTAAGTCTAGACAGGTTAATGACATAAGGTTCAAGCTCTGTATCAAAACTTAAAGTGATTGTTCAATCGTAGTCGGTATAAAACCAAATTAAAGAAGTTAGTTCAAATTCATCACTCATAATTTCTGAAACTCGCTAGTCGTAGGCACCCCTATTCGGTTTCAAAAACAAAACTTGAACTTGTTCCCTTTACGGTTACTGCTTCTACTCACCCATACATTGCAAGAAGCATACCAAAATAGTTATACATTTTTTACTTCTGTTATTTCCATAAAACTCTTCACTCTAGGAAAAGTAAATGTTAATAACACAGAGGCGAACCTGCGCTTTGCAAACACTAGCAAGAAAAACACAAAAAGCAGCTCTATAAAGAGCAAAAAGAAAAAGTACAAATAAGCCTCGAATTAAAAAAAGTTCTCTTTTTTCTTGAATTAAAAAAAAAGATTCCATCGACGACCTAGAGATGATGAATTTTCACACAGTAACACTTCAGGCATGGGCGCTTAATAAATCACAAACACTAGCCACAAATAAAGCAGAGCACAGATGCTATGAAATTTCCAAGGCTACAGATCGTGATTACAGACAGAGTGCCACCAAATATGTGAGCACTTTTTATTAAAACTTTTATTTGCAAGCCAGGTTAGATAAAAGGAAGTTTCGTACTAATACACTACGCTGCTGGCTGGAGTAAACACAGATGAAAGAGAACCTTTTTCACAAGCATTTCAGAAAAACTAATTAAAGATATATGACAAAAGTTGAACTAAAAGAATGTGAACGTTTGCTCATAAACTTCAATCGTCTGCATATGCGGGACTTGATTCTGCGATTGATATTTACTCGAATATTTTTCAAAAAAATTATTGACAAATGAAGGTTTTAATTCAATTTATTTTCAGTCGCTTTTGCAGTAGCCCACCTACAAAAAAGCGACTGAACCGAGTGAGTACTTTCACGATGCCAATTTATTCAATTTGTTGAGAAGAGAGCTGAGGGCTATGAGACAAACTCATTTTGTCTATTCCGCGTCTAGCTACCCGGAGTAACTTGTCTGTTGTGTCATGCATAAGTGAAATGTTTGTTGAACACTTTGGCTGTCTAATAAAAAAACGACGTTTTAGAAGCCAATTTATAAAGGGTGACTACTCTCCACAGGCCTCTATTTGTTTACGCAGAAGCTGAACACTTTCAAGAACTTTCTGGCACCAATTTGTTAATCACAGGTCTCAAGGAATCGAAGCCATTTTTCTTCTGAATCTTTTTTGCGTTTCGAAATTTGCTGAAATAAATGGGATGTGTTCCACCGGCTGCTTATAAGGGCAGCCAAGATTCTTCAGCAACACGCATAGCGGACTCTGGGAAAAAAATACGGGGTGAAATAGCAGGGCCCGCCGATGTGGTGACGTGCTACCTTCAGCCTCACACAATGGAGAAATTTTTGACTGCTGCAATGGTGGAAGGATGAACCGCAGCGAAGAAGATGGAGTGCAGCCAGTATTTAGACAGCCGCGTATTCATACTCGTCAGTATTTAGACAAATACTGTATGAACCAATCAGAATCGAGAAAAGACCTAAATAATCCAAAATAAATAAAAATTATTTATTAATTTCTTCTTTGTCTCGATTCTGATTGGTTGAAACAGTATTTGTCTAAATACTGACCAGTCTGAATACGCGGTTGTCTAAATACTTATATCTAACCGAAGAAGATGGACATTATCTCCTTAAATCGAGGAAACTCATGTATTTATCGGAGAAAAGTACTATGTGGTTAACAATGCGTTAATTCAATAAGTACGATAACATGATGAGAACCTCGGGCATTGATCGGAATTCAGCAAAGAAGGTAAGGATCAAGAATAAGGAACTTAGAAGCGAGGGAAATTTTAGGAGAGAACTGTTGTGCATATGAGTTAAAAGGAACTCTGATTTGGACTTCATTAAGGTGCGCCAAATTGAATCCAGTAATTTAGTTTTGGAGTACTTCACGATAACGGTTTTCTTCATGGTTTGGGATCCACGGTGACCAGTACGCGACCAAAAACCCCAGTACAATAGCATCACAAGGTTTTAAAATATTAAAAGTGATGAGGCGTAACTCTGAGGCCCAATGGATCTGGGCTGGAAGCTACTAGTAACAAGTTCTCCAAACTGGCTATCTCTCAAACTCATAGCTTTTAGTGTTCAGTCAGTAGTAAGGTTAAAC